CACCAGCCACTCCTCGGAAGGAAGGTTGGGCAATCTACTTCTGTAGTGATACCGCCTCGGAAACCCAAGGAGGGGTCGCTATGAGTCGGGTCTGACTCGACAGCATATAACAACAACAACAACAAGAAGCAGTGATGAGGGCAGAAGGGGTGAGGGTTCTTAAATTCCATGCTCGTAGAGGTAGGTGCTCAAGAAATACTCAATTTGCTTATTGATTTGTCAGTGTTACCTGTCCAAAGATCTCCAGCCACTCTCCAAATGCCATAATTCATCTTAGCTGGATTTTAAGAGAACTAATAGTGCTCATTGGCAGATAGGGAAGGACTGGATTTATTTGGGACTTGTGCCACACTTTTTTTGGAATGGCTTGAGGCAGATTATAGATTAAAACATAGTGTTTTAAAGTAAGACTTTAAGGAGGAAACATAATTTGGCAATCAAGAGATGAAAAAGTAATAGCTACTTCCAAAAACCACCATCCTCAACACTTAATGCTATAAATTTGGCTGAAAGATTCTTGGCAGGAAAACCATTACATACTCAGTGTTCGTTTTCTGGTACCAGAGAACATACAGAATTTCCTGGAGGGAAAACATTTCTCCTCAAGCTATAGCCAAACCAAAAGTGATTGGGTTAGTCCTCATCTGAAGAAAGTGGAGCGACAGGGTGAAGACTATGCAGTTCAGTTCAGCTGTAGTTTCTCACCATCCACCAAGTACCAGTCCCAGGCAGTGTTCCCAGTCTTGTGTGAGAGACGGTCTTGTCCCTAAGTTACTCTAATGGAAAGTAGATGTGATAGTAGACCATGATCGATGTACTACCCTCCATAGGACTCAAAAGGACTGGATCTTGGTTCAGGGCAGAGTGTGGGAGGGTGGGAAGCCTTAATGGATGACTAGATTTCAAAAGGCAGAAAAGAAGTCAAAGACCATGTTTTCCACATTGACTTTATAAAAGATAGCAGAAACACCACCCAAAGGGATAGCAAACACTTTTTGAGTGATTACTGTGTACCAGGTGCATTTGTTCACTCAATCTTAACAATAATCCTGTGGAGAAGGAATTATTATTTATGTTTTACAAATGCAGAAACTGAAGCTCAATTTGCCCAAGGTCACATATAGTAAGTGATGTATCAGGATTCAATATCAAGACTATGTCTCTGTACCACTCTACCACTTTGTTTGTTCAACAATATGTGTGTGTGTGTGTGTGTGTATACAAACATTTATTGAACATTTGCTACATGCTAGACAATGTGCAAGGCTTTGGGGACACAGAGGTGAATACACACACACACACACACACACATACCCTCTTTGGGTTTCTGAGGTACTAAATCTTTACAGAAATAGATTGCCCAGTCTTCCTTGTGGAAGTGGCCGGTGGGTTTGAACTGCCAGCCTTCTGGTTAGCAGTCAAATGTCTTAGGCACTATGCCACCAGAGCTCACACACACACACACACACACATACATAATTGTATTTTTCATGAAGGTTTGGATAGCAGTTTGGTTCCCATTCAATAATCTCTGCACACATTGTTCAGTGCCACTGGTTACGTTCTTCACAGTGCATGAACATTCTCATTATTTCCATTTTGGTTGTTCTGTTTCCATTAATCTAGTTTCCCTACTCCTTTACACTCTCATAATTGTTGACCGTTTGGGTATAGGTGATATTTTAAAGAAGCATAGTGCTTACAGATGATATTCATTATTTTTTAAAAAAACCAACTTGTTATTTAGCTACAAGGTGACCTCAAGGGTTAGTTTTGATTCCAGGTTTTAAGAGTATCTCAGGGCTATGGTCTTGGGGAGTTGTCCAGTCACAGCCAGTCCAGTAGGTCTCAACCAGACAGCTCTTAACTGGAGTTTCCATAAAGAAAAGGAACGTAACATGGCATTCTGGCTGTGAGCAACTAAAGGAATGCAGTCCATTGATGCTTTTAACTTAACCTGAGACTAGAAGATGAATAGATGGACAGTGTGTCAATTACTCTGTCATCTCCACTCTAAATATTTCACTTGAACTTTTTGACTGATCCTAGGCCACAGTCAAGGAGCTCTGATGGCAGAGTGGTTAAAATATTCGGCTTTAATCAGCAATTAGAACCCACCAGGCATTCTGTAGGAGCTCTGGTAGCATAGTGCCTAAGACACTTGACTGCTAACTAGAAGGCTGGCGGTTCAAATCCACCAGCCACTCCTCAGAAGGAACGTTGGGCAATCTACTTCTGTAGTGATACCGCCTCAGAAACCCAAGGAGGGGTCGCTATGAGTCGGGGCCGACTTGATGGCACATAACAACAACAAGGCACTCTGTGGGAGAAAGATGAGGCAGTCTACTTCTGTAAAGATTTACAGCCTTGGAACCCTATGAGGCAGTTCTATTCTGTCCTACAGGGTCACTATGAGTTGGAATCAACTCAAGGGCAGTGGGATTAGGCCACAGTCTAATCACAAGTGATTTTCTGTAGTTTGTCCGTTGTGTCAATAAATATGTGTATCTCATCTCTTTGCACTTGCAGCTCTCTCTCCTCATCACCTCCTCCCGCAATGTTCTAGCCATTTTGAAATACTGCTCAGAATGCACCAGGCAACTGCACATGCTCTACCCTTTAAGACTTGGCTCAAATCCCATCTCCACCTGGAAGCCTTCCCTGAGTTCCCCTTTTCTCCCCCCCCCCTCCACACAGAGAAGATACTCCTCTCTTGTTCTCCCACAGAATCCCATAACACCTCCCTTTAGCACAGTTTACTTGTTGGTTTGTGAATTCCTTATTCATCTTTGTGTCCCTAGAACCTTGCACACTGCCTCAATATAGCAAATGTTCAATAAATGTTTGTTTAATGAACAACTATTGTGTGTCAGGCACTGTCCTGGGTACTAGCGATATAGGAGCTCAGAGTCTGAAGGAGGAGGTTGATATGTAAAGTAATGATTAGAGCCTAGTGTTATGAGATCTATTAATAGGGGGTTTGGAGAGCACTGAGGAAGGAGAAAATAACTTGGCCTGGGGAGTCAGTGCAGTCTTCCAGTGGTGGTAATTATGCCCTGAACCTTGAACCCTGAAATATTTTTGCCAGACTAAGAGGTACAGCAGGCAGAGGGAAAAACATGTACAAGGGCAGGAAGGAGAATCAATGGGGAATTACAAAAAGTATTAATAACCTGTACCGTAATTTGGAATGAAAAACATGTTTCAGATACCAAATTGAGACGTAAAGTTGTCATGGTGTTTTGGAGGTTTTAAGACTGTATTATTCTGACAATATTGTTTTTAATCAGTCAGGTGGATTTTAGCACAAGGCAGTAAAGATGTTATTGTTGCCTTTGATGAAATAAATAATAACTGACTTACATTTTCTGGTCTACCTCCTTCCAAAAATTGTTTGAGTTGACATAATAAAAGACACATCCACAATAAGACTATTAATAGACACAGGAAATAAAAACTACAGATGGAAGAGAATAATATAATTTCCTAAAGTTTTTTTTTTTTTTTTTTCCTTTATTAGCTCACTTTGACTTTAGATAGCTACGGTGGGAGGGGGAAGGTTGATGGCAGGGTTCCTTCAAGCCCAGAGGCGGCATGCAGTCAATGCTTGTGGGGTTCCGTGAAAACGTTTCCCAGTTGATGCCACAGACACTGCTGGTGCTCTGTTTTTCTGAGAGTTTCCGTCTCCTCGTGCTTTTTGGTGGGAACCATCTTTATTTTGCTCGTCTTCAGATTCTCTGCTTCCTTCAGATTCTCTGCTTCTCTGAGCTTCTTCATCCAACTTTTGTTCAGATGCTCTTGTCCATTTAGAGTTTTTACCACTTCCTCTGCCTAAAATTTGAAAAACAGAAAAGTACACACATAGAAAAAAAAAAAGTCTCCCTAGATACTCTAACCAAAGAATAGTCATGGTTATTTATTAAAAAATGTTTTACCTCATTTCAGACTTTCAAAAAATTTTCCAGAATAGAACAGAGAATTCCTGAATACTCTAGGCCTAGCCTCCCCAAATGCCCAACTGGTACCATTTTATTATTAGGCTTTCTCTCTCACCCTCTCTCTGTCTTCCTTTTCCTCTCTCTTTCTGAACCTGTTCAAGAAAAAGCTGACCTTTATATAACCCTAAATACTTTAATATTTCCTAAAAAGAAGGAATTATCTTGCATAGTCACACTATTAATATTTTGTATCCTTCTAGATTTTTTCTATGCATATATTATTTATATTTAAATTATATGATACATTATTGTTTACTTTTATGTATGTATATATATTTATAGAAAGGAGCCTTGGTGGCTCAGGGTCAGACACTCAGCTGCTAACCAAAAGGCCAGTGGTTCAAAGCCGTTAGCTACTCCCCAAGAGAAAGATGAGGTACTCTGCCTCTGTAATGATTTATAGCCTTGGAAACCCTATGGGGCAGTTCTACCCTGTCCTATAGGGTCACTGTGAGTCAGAATCAACTCGATGGCAAGGGGTTTTGTTTGGGGTTCCATGTTTATTATAATGACTTGGGTTGTTTTTTGTTTTTTGTTTTTTTTTTTTGCTTACCAATAGAGAATGTCCATTATCTCACGATTTTGCATCAGCCCCTCCCTTCAACACAATGAGCTTCTGGGTGGCAGAGGATTTTCAACAGGCCACTCTACTTCAGAAAATTTACTGTTCTTTTTTTCTTCCATGTCTATTCAGATGTCAGTAGAAGCTGCTGAGTAAATGGGCAAGGAGGCAGAATAATGGAAGGCCTTGAATGCAAACTTAGTCTTTATTCTGTAGCCAGCAGAGATGCAGGGAAAGGTTTATGGCAGAGGAGTAAGTCAACATGAGCTGTGTTTTCTGGAGATTGATTTGCCAGTGTGTGAAGGAGGAAGAAGCCAGAGCGTGAGGTCGTGAGTCCCGTGGGTACCATGATCCCTAGTGCCAAGGGCACGTCTCTGCCCAGGGAGGGCAGAGCCTTCTCCAGCATAATGCATCCTTTTCTTTCCCATGTCTTTCAGAGCTGGTTAAAGTCATACGGCTATCTACTTCCCTCTGATTCACGGGCATCTGCGTTGCACTCAGGGAAGGCCTTACAGTCAGCAGTCTCCACTATGCAGCAGTTTTACGGGATCCCAGTCACCGGTGTGTTGGATCAGACAACAATCGAGTAAGATTTGCGTAGGACGTTGTCTTTTAATTTTCTGGACTTACATTTGGATTCGCATTTTTCATGGCCTTGTGTACACACCATGTTCAACCTACTCTCCTGCCTTTTACTCCTGCAGTTGTTATCCTAGAAGGCAATACCCCAAGGTACCTTTTTAGAGAAGTTGGGAATGTGTTGAGGTGGAAGTCTCACCTCTGCCATAAACTTGCTGTATGATCTTGGACAAACCATTTAACCCTCTGGGCCTCCGTTTCCTTATCAAAATGAAAGGTTGGGTTATAGATGGTCTCTTGAGTTTCCACTGGCTCTAACAACTCATGGTTCTATGAGTCACCACTTTGGAGTTCCCTGAGATATGCATGTCTCATCTGATACAGAGAACTCTGGAATGATAATGAGTGGGTTTATTTTTCCATTTATCAAACATTTACTGAATGCCTACATGTACCAGGCGCTGTGCTTGGTCCTACGATCCCTGCTCTCCAGAGGGTCACTGTTTCATGGACAACATAGTCATCTGGCTGTACAGTTCTGGAGCTTGAAAGGAACTGTTGAGTTTCAGGGAGTTACTCAAGGGGTGATGGCAAGTAAAAGTGAAACCACTAGAATGACTGAGAACACTCAGGAGGAAAAGAGTGCTGGGGAGGGAACTCCACAAAGAAAGCTGAGATGGGGCAGCCAAACAGGTGGACGAACCCCGGAACTGTGATGTCATGGCAGTGAAGGGGGAATGGTCAGCAGGGTCAGCTGCTGCCAAGTGGTCCAGTGGGTAATGACATGTCCACTGAGTTTAGTGACGAAGAGGTGGCTATTAACCTCAGTGGAATGGTGGAGACCAAGTCAGATTAGAGTGGGAAGGGGAGGTAAGACTAGAGATGACAATTATAGAGGAATCTTTCAAGAAGCTTGACAGTGAAGGAAAGAAGAAAAAAAAAGATAGCTGGAGGGGGAGATTTTTTTCCTTTAAAATGGAAGAAAGTTGATCATATTTAAGTTTGTTTATGCAATAGCCATACAAAAGAAGGGTGTGAAAGCATGGAAAAACACTAGAATAGGTCCCCTAAAGTAGAGGTTAGGGAATGGGGTCCTGAGATCAGGTGGAAGGAGATAGCAGGGATGGATAAGGACGTAGGGAAGTTTGTAGGGAGAGGAAAAGGAAAATAAGACTGTGATATTCCACCTAATCACAGACCAAGAAGCTAATCTACCTCTTGGGTAAGTTACTCCTTGAGAAAGTCACCTCCCTGGGCCTCAACTTACTTATCTGTATAAAGGAGGATTGGGTTATAACTCTTAAATTGTAGGATTCCATTAAGTATTCCAAGCTTCTAGGATTTAAAAATATTGTGAGTCAGAGGCTTTGTGATCCTAAAATTCTGTCTGAACACTTTTTATTCCTAAGATTCTCTGATTTTGACATTGTGAAGTTCTGAGAAAATGCATTTGAGTAATTGTATGATGTTGTGAGTACAGTGAACTCCTTGGTCCTGTGGACTCAAGTGAGTTGGTTAAAGAGAGAGCCCAGCCACTTCTCAAAGCCGAGGTTATTTTGAGGGCTTTGTGCAGACTATGGGGCGGGTCCATCCTGGGGCAGGGGCACTGGTGTCTCTGCTGAAGCACCAGCTGGCCTTGGGTTTTACTCCGTTCCAGAAAGCCCCAAGCCTGTTGGACAGGGTTCAGAAGGTGGCAGGTGGACAGCTAAAGGAGGAGGCAGAGAGAATGATCTAAAGGAAGAGAGTATGATCTAAAGGGAAGAGAGTGGCATTTCCCTCTTCTAGTTCTCCCCCTCCCTCTGCATAGTAAGGCAGAGAGCAGTGTCCTGGGAGCATGGGCAGGAAGAAGGCACTCACGGTTAATCCAGAACCTGAGTGGGCGGTGTGTTTGGTGTGGAATATAGAGACTTGTTTCTGCTCCTGCTTAGTGATCTGGACCAATCACTGCCTTTCTCTGGGACTGTTTCCTCCTCCAGGGGCCCTTCCAGGTCTCATTCAGCCTTGGTGTAGCAGAGGTAGAGAGAGCTCTGTTGGCTACCAAAAGGTCAGCAGTTAGAACCCACCAGTCTGCTTCCATTAAGATTTACAGCTTGGAAACTCTGTAGGGGTCACTATGAGTCAGAATCGACTTGATGGAAGTGGGTAGCAGAGGTGGTTCTTGATTGTCTTCCCAGGAACTATTAGTAAAAGGAAGCTGTATTAGCAATTTGAAGTACTATATTTGAGTATCTATCTACCTTGGGAAATGTCACACATTAGTCATTCACTCATTCAGTCATTCAACAAACATAGTTTCTCTTGACCAGCCTTGTGCTATGCACTGGGAAAAAAAAAAGCCCAACCTTTGTTTTTTACACTGTATGAATTAGTAGTTCATTTACATTCATTCAACTAAGTTCTAGTCCTGCCTTACTGTTTTCTACATTTTGCAAATTAATCGATTTATCTGTATATCTTTCATCTGTGAAATGGGGATAATAATTTTTTGTTACTTCACAGGGTTGAGAATCGAAAATTAAAAAAAAAGAATGTGAATACTTTGAAAATTCTAAGTGTTTATATAAGTTCCTGGCATTATTATTATTATGTCTCTTATTGCTTACTGAGTATAGGACACTATACTGTTGTTGTTGTTGTTATGTGCCGTCGAGTTGGCCCCAACTCATAGCAACCCCTCCTTGGGTTGCTGAGGCAGTATCACTACAGAAGTAGATTGCCCAACCTTCCTTCCAAGGAGTGACTGGTGGGTTTGAACCGCCAGCCTTCTGGTTAGCAGGCAAGTGCCTTAGGCACTATGCTACCAGAGTTCCTATACTAGTAATTAATTATTGATTGCTAGTGTAGGACACTGTGAGCACACAAAGATGAATAAGAGCTGGTCACTCCCCTCAAAGGACTTTTAATACTGGTTTAAGCTGTCTTCTTTTCTCTATATTGCCAATGGCAACTGCTTTTAATAAAACTGCAAATGAGGTCAGACTCTTTTCTCTTCCAGCAATCCCAGACTATAGTTTAATGAGCTCTAGTCATTAAGCCAGCACAGAGAAAATGCAGAGACAGCCATGGTCTTTCAATCCTCCCATCCTGACTCCTTTTGTGTATCCCCCATGATATCCCATGCCTACTGTTCCCTAATAACAGAGAGTTATCAGGATTTACTTCATTGTAGGCATTAGATTACATTCTGGAGACATAAACACAAATATGACATAGTTCCTGTCCTCAATGGACTTACCATTTATTAGGGACAATGGCCTAATGGATTTAAAATCCAATACAATGTCCTGGGGAGAATTATATTCCAAGTACTGTGGTAGTTTACAGTATGCCTATAGTACATTTCTTGAACATCTAGAATGAAGAGAATTTACTGTCTTCTAAGCTGTCCCATTTTACTGTTAGATAGCTTGATTCATTCATTCACTCAACAAATAATTACTGAGTACCTTCTGTATCAGACATGTGCTGGCACTGGGGATACAGCAAGGGTCATACCCCCGTGGATCCTAAGATCTAGTAGAAGAGGCAAAGAATAAACAAGAAGGTAAATATATAATTTCAGGTAGTGATAAATGCTACAAAGAAAACTGAAGAGGGTAAGAGGATAGTGGTAGGGCTTGATGTGATGTCATGGGAAGAAAAAAAGATAGTGGTAGGTAGGATGGAGTGGGGAGGCTAGTTTAGATAGGGTGAACAGGGGAGTCCTTTCTGAAGGGGTGACATTTGAGCAGAGGCTTGAATAAATTAAGGGCACACATCATGTGAAGAACAGGAGCAGGGGGCACAGCAAATGTGAAGACCCTCACCTGGGAATAAGCTTCATATGTTCAAGAAACAGCGAGAAGGTCACTGTGGCCTGTGCATAGGATGTGAAGAGGGGAGGGGTGAAGATGCTGGATAGCAGGGCAGGGGCTAGATTCTGTGGGGCCTATGGTCCAGGATGAGGAGTCTGGATTTGATTCTAGGTGTTTTGGGAAGTCATTAGAGAGCTTTAAACCAGGGAGTGGCATGATCTGATTATATTTACAGAGCATTTTCATTAGAGACTCAAGACAACAGGGCAAGAACTATGATTCTCATGTTGCAGATGAGGAAACTGAGGTTTATGTTGGGTTGGTCACTTGCCAGGGGTCCTATGATTAGTGGTGGAGCTGGAATTACTGGCCAAGGTCTTCTGATTCGCAGTCTCTTCTATAGCAGTGTTTCTTCATATTTGATTGTGAGTGAATGAGTGAATGAATGAGTCCGTCAATCAGTCAATCATATTCCTTTTGGGGAGTCATCCCAAGGTCTAAGGTGAGGATGCATGCTGCAGTCAGGCGGGACTGGGGACTTTGCAGTGCCTTCCTATAGTGGCCGGTGACCACAGTACAGATGTGTGTCTGCGTCTTCTCTCTGCCCAGGTGGATGAAGAAACCTCGATGTGGTGTCCCTGATCACCCTCACTTGAGCCGCAGGCGGAGGAATAAGCGCTACGCCCTGACTGGACAGAAGTGGAGGCAAAAGCACATCACCTACAGGTGCTTTGAGCGTCCTTTTCTCCCTGGCGTTGGCGCCACCCTCACTGTATCTTCCTGGCCTGTGTTTCAGAGGCTCACACTATAGGTGGGTCTGGAGATGAGCACCAGGGACTGACAGCCTATGATTTTGCCTTCTTTGTGGCTTCTGGAGGATGCTGTGACTCCAACTTCAGGTTTATTTGGTCCTATGGGGGCTTACTAGGCTGTTTAGATGACCATTGCTTTCAGTAAGGAAAGTAGGGTATGGATTATTCAGTAACTTTCCGCTGTCATAAAGAGCTGTGGCTGAACTCATTCTCTCCCTATCACTGCTTGCCAAACCGAACTTCATCCGATCTGGATCCCCTGCTCCCCAACTAAACTCAGCCTGTTGGGGAGCATCTGAGATTCCCAACCCAGCCTTGTTTCTCAGGGAGTATGGAGACCAGGAACTGAATCACAGTGACACTCCTTGACTGACAGAGCAGGCACAGTCTCCAGGTCAGACCAGGGACAAAGAGCAGAAATGATGAAGCCCATCGCAGCAGTCAGACATCAGAACTCGGAGTGCACCGGGGCAGAGATCAGGAATAGGGCAGGCTCAGGTGGGCTGTGGTTGGCAGCTCTAGAGGCTCTGATTCTGTCTCAGGTAGACCCCTTGGGTTGAGAGGCAAGATCTGGAGTTGAACTCAGGGCTCTCCTGCTGACAAGCTGCAGAAACCAGAACCAAGTTTTTGTTTGGTTTGGTTTTGTTTTTAGAAATCTGACGAGAAGGGAACTTAAGAAGAATCTGTATAGGAAGCTGGCACTTAGGGTCTCCTGAAGAGGTAGAGTGAATCAAGAGAAAAAAGAACTGGATTCTAATCCAACTCTCACCTGAACTTCTATCACCCAGTCTCCCCGGGCCTCAGTTTCCTTACCTATTGAAAAGGTCATGGGGTGGAGCATCAGAAATAATGGTGCTCCTTTGTGAAGAGCCATGAAATACGAATACAGTAACATTAAACATCTAAATCTACACATGATCAGACCAGGTACCACCCTATACCAACTTGTAGAGAGATAAGCAGTAGTAGGTACCAAAGAGTTTTTTTTTTTTCCCCCTCACTTAAACTCTTCTTCTTTGGATATTTTTGTAACATATATATATATATATAATATGTATTAGGGAAAAAAGTTAAAATTTAGAAAATGCTATCCACCAACTTAATTTTTTCTGTGAATGGAGTGGAATCCCTTGTTCAACATAAACTTTGTCAGAGATCAAGTATAAAGCACTGATGAAAGCAAAGTTACTGTGGTTGAGGTCCAGAGCCCTGCTCCTCAGCTTCTTGTCAAAGCCCTGGGCACCTCAGCAGAATTCTAGGCTTCAGAATTGGAAGATCATTGAGCCTCATTGCAGATGAGGAAACTGAGGTTTATGTTGGGTTGGTCATTTGCCAGTGGTCCTATGATTAGTGGTGGAGCTGGAATTATTGTGCCAAGGTCTTCTGATTCCCGGTCTCTTCTATAGCAGTGTTTCTTCATATTTGATTGTGAATGAATGAGTCAGTCAATCAATCAATCTGATGTTTCTGATGTCTCTTTTAGCTCTACTAGTCTCTGACTCTCTATCTGCTCCTCTCTAATGACCCTCCCCTCTCTTACCAGCATTCACAACTACACCCCAAAGGTGGGTGAACTGGACACACGGAAAGCTATTCGCCAGGCTTTTGATGTGTGGCAGAAGGTGACTCCACTGACCTTTGAAGAGGTGCCATACCACGAGGTCAAAAGTGACCGGAAGGAGGCAGACATCGTGATCTTTTTTGCTTCTGGCTTCCATGGTGACAGCTCCCCGTTTGATGGGGAAGGGGGATTCCTGGCCCATGCCTACTTTCCTGGCCCAGGGATTGGAGGAGACACTCACTTTGACTCAGATGAGCCATGGACACTCGGAAATTCCAACCATGATGGTAAGGCCATGAGGTGAGGGGGTGGGCAGTTCTGGGTTGTTTTGAGGAAGCTCTTGGATGACACTATAGGTGAGGTTCCTGCTTTCTAGAGCTTCTGGTCCAAGAACTAAAAACCTAATAATGGGAACTCTGCTCTTTAATGACATTCATCACTGGGCCCACCAGGGACAGAGCCACAGATATGGGTCAAATCATTTAGTTGATGGTCCATTTAGGCTGAGTCCAGAGTGAGGGGCTAGGCCATGGTTAAGAAGAAAAATGAATGGATCAAAGGTTAGACAAAAAGGTGAAAAGGCATTAAGCTTAAGGTCTGAAAGTGATAGGGTCCAACCTGACTGATGAGGGCTCCAAAGGCTTGTGGAATGACTGACTCTTCTTCAGCCTCCCAGGTGAATAACAGGGCCCATAATTACTCCAGTATTTTTGAATAACTTGCACTTCACCGCTATGCTTCAATTAATATCTATGGAGCAAGAGTCAAAAATGTGCAGTAATAATAACAATACCTTTTAGGTTGCAAAAGAGTTTCCTCACCAATATTTACTCACAAGCACTGGCCTAGAAAGTAAGTACCTACACATTTTCATGCCCATTTTTAAGACATGGAGTTTGGGGTTTGAAGTAGTGATGGGACTTAACTCAAATGGCCCAGCTAGGTGATAGCAGAGCTGGGTCTGGTCCAGCTACCTGGCTATGTGATGAGGGATCAATAATTCACCCTCTGTCTCAGCTATAAAATGAGGGGCTGGATTAGATGATATCCAAGCTCCCTTCCAACTCTGATGTAACATGCTGCAAAGCCCAGGAGGTTCTAAATAATAACAACAGAAAAGACATAATCTCTGTCCTCCAGAAGTCCAGAGTCAAGTGGAGAGGAGAGATGTGTACATAGGTAGTCACAAGATCAAATGTACTGAAGGCTGGAGCTAAGGTACCAAGAAAATGCAGTAAGAGCCTGGGGGAAGGAGTGCAAGGATGCTGGCTTGTAGATTATGATAGATAGTGAATGGTACTTCAGTATTCTAAGACCCAGGCCAAGTGCTTTCTACATATTATGTTGAGGCTGATAAGAAAGAGCACAAAAGAAAAAGGGAGGGAATGAAGATAAGTTTCACAGTTTTGTAATTTTGCCTAGGTTATCTTTGGCATAACTTTGCCAGACCATCTTCTGACCAGCCTTTGGCAGAAATGCTGATCTCTGATCCATACAGTGATAGGAAACGTTCTCAGGAGGCAGTCCCTGTCTACAGGCACCAAATATGGCCTCTGAGCAAATGGGCCAAATTATCATTACCTTCATTATCCTCATTTTACAGATGGGTAAACTGAGGCATAGAGAAACATAAGGTAACCTCCCTAAGGTCTGGTATTTGGTGAAAGGTCAGGTAAGGCTTTGAAAGTAGGAATTATAACCCCAGATCCCCTACTCTTAGCCACTTTCAGTGGTTCTCTAATTGCAGAGAACATAAGAATCACCAGGAAACTTTTCTTAAAAATGAAGATTCCAGGCTTCAGGCCCTTACCTTCTTCCTTTTCTGATTCTCCAGGTGTAAGACAGAGCCTGGGAATCACACTTTAGTTTAAGGAATTCTCCCGTACTTCTGAGGCAGGCAGCGGAGTGCCTAAGGCACTTGACTGCTAACCAACCCACAGTCACTCCTCGGAAGGAAGAGTGGGCAATCTACTTCGATAGTGATACTGTCTCAGAAACCCAAGGAGGGGTTGCTATGAGTCGAATCAACTCGATGGCAGTGAGTTTGGTTTGGTTTTGGTTTTCAGAGGCAGGTGTTCCATCACCTTGCAAAACAGTTCTACTCTTTGGTGTGTCCCCAATTTGATTGACCTTAAGAATCTGTTGGGCTCTTGTTATCATTATGGGTTCCCAGGCCCTTCCCCTGGATATTTTGATTCTTATGTTTAGGCAAGTTTGAGAAAATGTGGGTATTCTTTTTCCCTAATCTCAGTGTGCTTCAGGCTCAGAGTCCACTCTTAAAGGCCCATTTGCTCAGAGGCCATATTTGGTGTCTGTAGACAGGGACTGCCTCCTGACAACGCTTTGTATCACTGTATGGATCAGAGATCAGCATTTCTGCCAAAGGCTGGTCAGAAGGTGGTCTCCAAGGTTATGCCAAAGTCAACCTAGGCAAAATTACAAAATTGTGAAACTTACCTTTGTTCCCTCCCTTTTTCTTTTTATGCTCTTTCTTATCAACCTCCATATTTTCTGTCTTGTTATCTCTCCCAGTATGTCCTGGATGTGTTTCCTACCTGTTCTTTATCTAGATCTTATTCTTGGATCAGTGTCAATGAAAGACTGCCTGTGCTAACTGATAAGGCGTGAGGAGAAGAGAACTAACATTTTTGAGCCCCCATCATGTACCAGGCACTGTTAGCTGATAAGGTTTTAGTTATACCTGATAGAGATGAATGTTAAAAGGATGGCTGTCCAGAGGAGGTACTAGGGAGACACCCTTAACTGCTCTGCCTTCCCGTTCTTCCCTGCTCTGGGCGTTTGCCCTTCCCACAGCCTCTCTTGGCTGCTGAGGAACTTGTTGGGCCCAGCCTCATAGCACTTCTGGAGGTGTGTGTGAAGGAGCTGGGCCCTCTGGATGGGCACCATGCCTACATGCCTCCCACCTGTCCTACTCGATCTTTGGTGAAAGACTACCAACTCTGGTAGAAATTCCAAAGTATCTGAATGTTATCTTGTTAGATTTCCACATAAACTCCATGAGGGAGCAAGTAGTCTCCTAAAACTTTTTATTTATTAGCTTTCTTCTTTGTAAAAAGTTTTATTAGGGAAAATGTCAAACTCACAAAAATAGGGAAAAGACATAATAAAAAAAAAAAAGTATTGTGACTTGGGGGAAAGTTTACAGAACAAATTGTTTCCATACAACAGTTCATAAACATTTTTTCTGATATTGACTGCAATCCCCACAATGTAACAGCTCTCTTCCCACTTCCTCCCTAGAGTCACCTCTTCCCTGTGTCCTTCTTTCCTGTGCATTCCTGCCCCCTGAGCTATCTCCCGGTGCAAATACTGCTCTTCTATTCTCCCATGATTGATTGTTCTATGTGGTGTAAGTGTTCACCCTGTATGCCTGTCTATTGTTTGCCTGGAAGCCAAGGGAGTGAGTTCAATTCCAGGTCCTAAGGGTAACTAGGGGCCATAGTCTGGGAGGTTTTACCAGGCTGGGAAAAGAATAATATGAACCCTTCGGTACCCATCACCCCGCTTCAGCAATCATCAACACCGTGTCATTCCTATTTCATCTACCTCCCCCATTTTTATTTTTTGGCTGATGTATTTTAAAGAAAATCTTAGGTATCATTTTACCTATAAATATTTTACCTCTAACAGATAAAGACTTACGTTCAACAGAATGGCAAAATCATTATCAACCCCCAAAAAATCATGATTTTTTAACAAGTTTGTGTTAATTTTCCTAAATTATCTCCAAAATGCTACTTACGTTGTTTTCTTGAGTTAGGAACCACACATTGCATGTATTTGGCATGTCTCATAAGGCCCTATTTAATTGAAAACAATCCCCTCCACATTCTCTCTTTCCTCCATGACATTTATTTGTTGAAGAATCTGGGTCATTTGTCCTGAATATACCCTTTGGCTTACTAGACTCAGGTTCGTTTCATCAAGTCTTTCTTCCCGTTTTTCCCGAATATTGATCATTAGATCAAGGCTTGAGCAGATCTAGGTTCACTTTTTGGGGCAAGTGTACTTCCTTTTTGGTGCCATGTTGCCTCACTTCAAGAGGCATATATAACTCAGGTTGTCCCACTTTTAGTGATACTGAGGTTGATCTGTTGGTTCTGTTGGTCAGGCTGACACAACTATTATAAAATTCACTGGGGGAACTTAAAAAATAAAAAGATTGCCTAAGCCCTAACCCAAGCCTCCTCAATCAGAATCTGCTCCATCTGTGGACTTAAGAGGCTCCCCTGGAGAAACACTGGATTAGAAAGGTGATTCTAATCCTTCACCTGGTTGGACTCTGTGCAAAGAGGCGATCTAGCCCACCACACCCATAAGTTAGCTTCTGGGCACCACAAGCCTGTCATCGTCTGTCCTCATGACCTACAGAGTCATCAGAGAGTAGAGATCTCTTCCATAAACATTCCTTCACTGTCTCTTCCCCCATGCTGGGAGACAGACCAGGCAAGGATAATCATGTCCATTTTACAGTGGAGGACAGTAAAGTTCCAAGTAGTTAAGAAAGTCACACCGCTGGTAAGTGGCAGAGCCAGATCTGAACCAAAGACTCCGTATTTTTTTAACAATCACCCCAGGCAGTTCGGCTGCAGAAGTCCCAAGGACCACTCCTAGGAAAAGACTGAATTTGGGGCACTATTCCATCTTGAGTGCTGTCACCTAGTCACGTCAAGCACAAAGCTTGCCTGAACGTTGCTCACAGTCCTAGGGCAGGTGAGAGCGTGCACCCGTAGCTATAATGTAGGGTGGAAGGTGGTCAGCGTCATGAAGATGGTTCAGGTGAGCTGCTGGGACAGTGCAGAGGGGGAAGCACTCACTGCCAGCTGTGGAATTCAGGGGAGGCTTCCTGGAAGATGTGGCATTAAGCTGACTTTTGAAGGATGAGGATATTCCAGGGGGAGGGAGCAGCATTGGCAAAAAAATAAAATAGAAGCTAAGAGAAATGCTGTAACCGTTTTGGGAGTTGAGGGAATCAATGAGATGGGAATCGCCGTATCTGGAGGCCCTAAGAGAAGGAAATGCAGCAGAGACAGGGCACTGGCTTGAAGGTCCAAGGACTTGAGCTCCCAGGCCCACAGGAGTTCTGCCTGTCGGGGATGCTGGTCGTCACGCAGCTCACATGGCCTGCTCACTAATAATGATAGCTCTGTGCCAGGACCCAGGACGAGCGCTTTACATACCTTGCCTCATTCATCTTCACCTGCATGCTTATGATGAAGGTACCATTATTAGCTTTATTTTCCAGAGGAAAAGATTAAACATGTCACACCACTAGGACATGCAGAGCTGGGATTCAAAACCAGGCAGTCTGCCTCCGAATGACTGCTGAGCACTCTGCTTCCCTGCCTCGCACTCTTAGGGAGAGAAGACCTTAACAGCCTCCTGTCAGTTAAGCACAGGTCATCTCCCTATCGGGCCTCCCCTCCTCGAGCCTCTGCTTTTCCCCTCACCAGCTTCAGGGAGTCCTCCTGCCCCTCTGCGCTCTCCTTCTGTGTCCTTCAGAGTGGCCCACATGTAACTGGTGCAGTAGAATGCCAGCTCCCTGTCTCTCCTCTTCCTGTTTGTCCCCAGAACAAACCCAAAGGTTTCTTCCAAGGGCTTAGTCTTAGCCTCTGCAGAGACCCAGGCACAAAGGTCAACAGAAAACAGACAAGGAGGAGGGTTCAGGATCTCTCCAGGGGCTCAGAGCCTGGCTCTCTGGTTCCCCAGCTGAGATCCCTGTGAATGCCCCTAAGGAAGGACCTGGTCAGGAGGCAGAGGCTCTGAACAGCTTGTTACAGGCTGAAGAACAGGCCAGGAGCCAAGCCAGGACTGGACCCCAGGAAGCAGAGCTGCCTTCTGCTGGCCCTAGCAGCCACCTTTGTTTGGGATGGAGCTCAGAAATGAGCTCACCCTTCCCCGCTGCCAGAGGGACCTGGGCCCGAAGGAACTGGGGGTGGCCTGCTTTCTCTTGCCAGCCTGCCCTTCCCCAGCAGAAGGCCAGCCCAGGCTTTTGGCCAGCCTTGCCCTGATCTTACCCATTCTGCTCCCTTTCTTTGCTCAAAGGCAGCTTCAGTGTGACACCAGGGGTGTCAGTAGAGTGGTAGGCACACATTTCCCACCTGTTCTGGATCTGCCCCATGGGGCTCTTTCTTCCCAAGACAATCCCCGGCGCTATCTGATCCTCGTGGGTCCCCCAGGGCTGGGCTGGAGTGGGACAACTTTACCAGTGATCTTAGGGCCATAAGGGACAGTAGGATTCTCATAGGCTCCTGGCAGCCTCCTGTGGACTTAGAGGTGCAGGATTGGGGCTGAAACATGCCTTAGAACTAGGGGTTAGGAGGCAGGGGTCTAACTAGGCAGGCAGGAGTCAGGACTGTTGATACAATGACCTGCCCAACTCCCTGCCCTTTACATTTATTTTTTAAAGCTGTGGTTACCGGATAACCCCAAATGCAGGCCTTGTCCTGCCCTAGACTTAATCCAGAAACTCAGGTGAGTTAATTACTGGAACTCCAGTGGCCCTGTGTGTCCTTTCTGGTAAATGGGCTTGTTCCAATAACCAGGCTTCTTTCTTATGTCTGATATCAATGGCTGCTGTCCTGTGCCATGCACTTTACATATATTATCTTATTCAGCCCTGTGAGATGGAAGATTTCTTCATTTGTGAAATGAGGAAATTGAGGTTCAGAAATGTAGATCCCCTGGCCAAGTTCATGGAGCTGGTAGGGGCACAGCTGGAAATGAATGAGATCAGTCCTACACAGGGGCCAGTGTTCATAACCACTGTGCCATGTTGCCGCCTCAGTTTTGTACTGGGGACCCTAAATCCCACTTTGAGCACCAGGATCTTGTTCTCCCCACATTTGAAGCCTTGCTTTGATCATGCCAACGGTTCAGTTCCTCCAGGACTGAAGTCTGGTGGGGTTGAAAGCGTCCCCCCACACCTGGGCCCTGCTTGCCTCTGGGCCTCCTGAAAACCAGCCTATCCTCAGGGCAACCACTACTTGTCCCACTACTTCCACCTTGACTCAGACCCTTTTCATCTCTCACCTGGACCCTTGGACCAGCTTCCAAACTGATCGCCCTGCCTCTGGTCTCATTCCCCTCTCATCCTTCCTCCAACTGCAGCCAGAGTGACTTCACCTGCTCCCACCCCCACTCAACTTACACTCCCCACTGGCCAAGCAGCAAATCCAAATTCTTGTGCATGGCATTACAGAGCCCTGCTTGCCAGCCTGAGTGACCTCATCGCTCTCCTCATGCTTTGTTCCAGAGCCAAGTGGAATGAAACTGCTTGTCCCTGGACTTTGTTTATAGCATGCTATCTGCCAGAAATGCCACCCCACTCCTCCTTTCGTACCCTCGGAATCCATCCTTCTGACTAACTTCTTATCTTTCCAGACTCACCTTAAGCTTCACCTTTAGAAAGCTTTCCCTGAACACCTTCCTCCAAGTTTAAATGACTCCTCAGAGTCCCCACTGGACCCGTAAGGCATCTAGTGAAGCACTGGGACACTCTGTTGCATGTATTTTGTCTCTCTGTCCATATCCTCCACTGAGAGCAGGGATTGTGTCTCATTTCTTTCTGTGTCCCCAGTGTCCAGCACAGGGCCTGGCACAAAGCATATGCTCAGTGTTTGCTGCATTAATGGACTGATTGGGTGCCCTGTGCACCTCTGCATCTCTCTCCATAGGCAATGACCTCTTCCTGGTGGCTGTGCATGAGCTGGGCCACGCACTGGGCCTGGAGCACTCCAACGACCCCAGTGCCATCATGGCACCCTTCTACCAGTACATGGAGACGCACAACTTCAAGCTGCCCCAGGATGATCTTCAGGGCATCCAGAAGATCTATGGTGTGTGACTGGGGAAAGCAGGCCACCACTCCTCTGCGGGGCTGGGCAGTGACTGCCTGCATGTCGGGGAAGGCGGGAGGGAAACTTGGCCATCCACGGGCATAGTGAGTGTGTTTCTTATTTTCACACTGCTTTCTCAGTTCCCCGAACTTGGGCTTTGCTTTTTGTATCTACTTGTATTTCATCTCCTTGGGCCAGGAGTTAGGAGGCCTGGATTCAGGTCTCTGCTCCGTCTCTGACTGGTCTCAAACCTTTAGGGACTTCTAACATCTTTGCTTGGCCAAAAAGGGCAACATTTCCCCCTGGCACATTTCACAAACCTAGGAGAGGGTCTAAGCTGTGACTGGGAGGGACAAAGTGATAGAAACCCACTCACTCCCCCTTCACCTTCTGCACACCTGCCTCTCACCTCCTTTGACCCAGTCACCAGACAGTGACTAAGTACCCTCAGGCTATCCCACCACCTTCAAGGAGTCCCACCTCTAGCTGAGAGGTCCACACTTCTGCCCAAGTAATGTTGATATGATGTGAGGAGTAGTACAACCCAAACTTTTTTCTTAAAAAGAAAAAGTGAGGTGAGGCTGATATTCTGATAAGATAAAAGGTCTCCTACCATGCCTTTCTCCCTGTTCCGTTCGCATTGAGATATGAAGTTCTTGTCAAATGAATCAGTTGTGATGGGAAGACCAGTTTTCTTGAGCAAATAAATATCTGTTAACATTGCACAGGAAAATATACCCTTCTGAGGTGCCTGCTCCCACAACCCCTAAGCTTGGAGCACAGAAGGGATGGAAACCCTGAGGGCTTCATGGGATGATGGCCCAGCCAGGGCCCTGGAGGATGGGCAAGATCTCCATAGATGAAGCAGCAGAGGGCCAGGTGGGGCTGTGGAGCTGGAAGGTATTTCAGAGGTAGAATGGACAGGATTTGCTGATAGACATGGAGTGACTTCTGGCTTTTGTAATTATGGGGCAATAGGATTCACCAGTTTGTAGCTCAGAGATTTGGACTGGGAATATTGAGTGGAATCTTCACTGTTCAACCCAGTAGGCCTTAGCCACATGAACAAACAAAAAACCAAACTCACTGCTATTGAGTTGATGCCAACTCATAGCAACCCCCCACTGAGTTTCCAAGGCTGTAAATCTTTACGGAAGTAGACTGCCTCATCTTCCTCCCACGGAGCAGCTGGTGGATTTGAACCACCAACCTTCTAATTAGCAGACAATTGCCATATCCACTACACCACCAGAGCTCCTTTTAGCCACTGAGGCTATTTAATTTAAATTTATATTAAATAAAATTAAATTCTCAGTTCTTCAGTCACACTAAGAACAATCCCACATTTCAAGTACTCAGTAGCCAGATACCATCTCCACCATCAGTTCTCTTGGAGAGCTCTAATACAGGTCTCTCAAACTGTAAACTTGGATGAGATCGCCTAGGGTAATAAGTCTCACTCTTGGCCTCCTATTGGAATCACCTTAAGATTCCAATAAAAATACTGGTATCCAGATCTCACCCCCAGAGAGACTCAGTTTTATTTGTCTGGGGTGCCTTCTGAGCATTAGAGTTTTTAAAAGTTCCCCGCATGATCCTAACAGGCAGCTAAAGTTGAGAACCACTGACTTAGAACAAAAGGAGCTGTGGTGGTGTAGTGGTTAAGGCCTTTGGCGGCTAACCAGAAGGCTGGTGGTCTGAATCCATTCCACCAGCTGCTCCGCTGAAGAAAGGTTGGGCAGTCTGCTTCTGTAAAGATTTATAGCTTTGGAAATCCAATGGGGATTGCTATGAGTCGGAATTGACTCAAGGGCAGTTGGACCTATAACAAATAAAGAAGAGGACCTAGGGCTGAGCCAGGGCGTTCCAACCTTTAGAGTTGGGCAGATGAGCAAAGGAGGCTGAGAAAGAACAGACTGTGAAGTAGGAGGAAAACCTGGAATGTTTAAAAGGAGAGAGGAGTTTCTGTGATTTTGCTACGCAAAAGTGTTGGCCTCCACCCAACAACATTGGCATCACCTGAGAGCTTGAAGAATCGCAGAATCTCAGGCCCCACTCCAGACCCTCTGAGTCAGAATCTGCAGTTTAACAAGATCCCAGATGATTCATACGCACATCGAGTCTGAGAAGCATTGCCCTAAGAGACTGAGTCAAGTAACCTCTGAATTTGGCAACATGGAGGTCACTGGTGATCTTGACAAGAGCAGTTTCAGGGGGTAATGGGGCTGAAGCTATAGTGGAGTGAGATTTAAAAAATAAATAAGGGAAGGAGATGAGAAAGTGAGGCTAGCAGTGTGAAGGGAAGCCGAGAAATAAAAGATAAACGGTGTTATCTGGAGGTGGACGCAGGGTCGAGGAAATTTTGTTTTGTCCTAAATGGGAGCCACTTTGTATGCTGAGGGATGATCTAGGGGAGGAGAGGGTGATTTTGCCAAGACGGGAAGAACCGAGAGCAGGAGACAGGGAGAGAGTGAGTGTTCAACACTGAGCCTAAGGAGGGACATGTTCTCTCTTGTAACAGGAGAGAAAAAAAAGAAGATACCAGATTTGGGGGTGGAAAGATGAGGGAATTCCCATCTAATGGCTTCTGTCTGGAGGAACAGGTGGAGTGTGGTAGATGTCTCTCGGAGCTTCCTGGTCAGGAAGAGGATAAGGAATGGCAGTGGGAGGCAGGGAATGGCTGGCCCCTTCTCTAAGATGTGTCCTCTCTCTCCAGGACCCCCAGCTGAGCCTCTGGAGCCCACAAGGCCCCTCCCTACACTCCCCGTCCGCAGGATCCACTCACCATCTGAGAGGAAGCATGAGCGCCAGCCCAGGCCCCCTCGGCCACCTCTCAGGGACCGCCCATCCACACCTGGCGCCAAACCCAACATCTGCGATGGCAACTTCAACACAGTGGCCCTCTTCCGGGGAGAGATGTTTGTGTTTAAGGTAGGGCCAGTCAGCTGGCGCCACCCAGGTGGTCCTTCCCACTCCTTTCCCCACCATGGGACCAGAGAAAGCTGCTTCTCCAGGAGGAGGCCTGCCTGGGGCCTGGAGGAGAGATGGTCCAGTGGCCGACACTAGGTCTCTTCCCAGGTGAATCAACCGCCCATTTCTGAGGGAGAAGGGGAAAAAGACTGGTGATTCTGGACCTTCCCAGGGGTTAACACTGAGGAAAAGGGCCAGCTTCTGGTCTATAACCTTGAGCAAGCCACCTCCCTTCTCTGGACTTCAGCTTTTCCAAACCTGAGAGCTGGGAAAGTCATTCCCCTATTCACAAAGGGTTGTGGGAAGATTAAGTGAGCTGTGAAATGGCAGGCTTGCAATAGGGGCTTGATCAGTGGTGGCTGATGTACTCTAGATCCTGCCAGGGCCTGAGAGGCTGGTACTAAGAGGTTCTTGGAAGAAAGCTGGCCAGGCTACGTCTTGTCGTCACCTGTTCCATTCCTGTCGCCTTAGCCGTGGCTGTTGGGCGTACTGCAGATGGGGTTCTTCCGGAAGCAGACCTGGAGACAGTGTGTGGAGTGCAGGATTCTTCTTGAAGAGTAGCTCTGGAGTCAACATCTGTGGAAGAAAGAAGTGGGGTGGAAGCAGGACTGGGCAGAGGGGGCCAGTCAAGTAGCAACACATTGCAGACTTGGTCACCTCCACAGGGAGCTCTGCAGCTAGAATGGCCCCAGCCAGCTGGGCCTTTACACTCCTGCCTCAGTCAGTCATTGGCTGAGGCAGGACACCACCTGGGGAAGATCTGAAGATCAGGTCATCCCTGAACGGACTGACAACTGGAAAGAGAAATGGCCTGTGACCACACTCCCAGTCACTGGAGGGGGATCAGGGCAGCACATCTCGTCTCCTTCACACGAGGGACGTGAGGAGGGCAGGCCCATTCCTTCCAGGAATTCTCCCAGCAAGCTCTAAGCACTGAGCACGAACCGGAGGACACGGATTAGCCCGTCCTGCCTCTCCCCAAGGGGCTCTAGTCAAGTCACTCGGGGCATTCTTGTGACTTTCCCTAACAGAGGTGTGAAAGTCAAAATAAGTAAACAAAACTGTGAACATGCTTTGTAAAACACCATTAAAAATCTTTTCTAGCTTTTGTACCATCTTTTACAGATCACATTTATTCTTCTGCACTTGCTTCTTTTTGATCCTTCCAGCTGACTTGTTTATAGGCAGGGCTGGGTTTTATCATGCCCATTTACACATAAGAAAACAAAAGGGCTGGGAGGTTATGGGACTTACCCGGACGGCTTACCGGGAAAGGGCGGTGGTTGGCACTGTTGGCACGGGCACCAGCTTGAAGACGAGGGGTTTTTATCAGACTCTTTACCAACCTAGCTATCATTCGCCTTCAACTATGTGCCCAGTACTGCTCTAGGCACCTTGCCGACATTCGTAGGCCAATTCCCTCCATCCTTTCCTTGCTGGACAGAGCCAGCCCCTGTGGAGGTCACTCCGCCCAGGCTCAGTGACCACCGGGTGCTTCCCACCAGCCAGATTGGCCTGGCTGATGTCAGTGACTCCACTGCCCCCATGTGGCCACTCTAGGCCCCCATATCATCCCTCCAACTCTGCCCCTCCCCTCCCGTGCAGTGCCTGTTTGCTGTGGGTCTCAGTCTCTGCATTTCTGCTGCTTTGGGTTTCTGCTGCCACTCCATGACAACCCTTTTCATGCTCCACCCTAGGGGATGGGAAGAGGAGGACAGTCCTAGCTAGCAGAAGAGTTCTGCCTCTGCTCCTGACTTGCTGCCCGACCTTGGTAGAGTCATGCATCCGCTCTGGGCCCCACATTATTCACCCATTCAGTGGGAATTACAATCTCCTGCCCATTTACTCCTTCATTTGACAAAAATTTCTTGATCCCTGACCTGGAGTGGGTGCTTGAGGTCCAAAAATGACCCAGACCCCCATCTCCCCTGCCTTTGAGCAACTCCAAGTCCAATAGAGGAGCTGTCCAGGGGGACACATCATTGCAAGAAGTGTGATGTGCTGGGGACCTCAGGTGAAGAAATGAGTGACTTCCTGGAGTGCCCGGGAAAGGCTTCCCCAAAGTGATGCCTTGTTAGCCGGGGTTTGAGCAGTTAAAAAAAGCCCCCAAGATGAACTTGAGGGAAGAATTCTAGGCCTCAGGAGCTGCTTATACAAAGGCAGGGAGGCAGAACATTGCCTGGCTTGTTTGGGGAAATGTGAAGGATCCAATGCAGCCGGAGCATGAGGTGAGGCTGGGGAAGCAGTTTGGAGGTGGACTGTGAAAGGCATTGCACGCCAGGGTGTTAGGTATGGCCCTGCGGCAGCAAGCTCCATTGGGAGTTTGAAGTGAAGAGAGTTCCATGAGCACTTGTCTTCCTTACAGGGCTTTGAAAGGAAGCAGCAGTCGGTGGACAGACTCCATGGAGGGTTGCAAGGCTGGGCCCAGGGGAAGGTGTGACGTTGTAGGGACCTGAGCCCCAGGCCTGGGACCACCGGGTTCAGAGGCAGAGCCTGCCATGCCTTTCTCCCCCCCCAGGATCGCTGGTTCTGGCGCCTGCGCAACAACCGGGTGCAGGAAGGTTACCCCATGCAGATCGAGCAGTTCTGGAAGGGCCTGCCCGCCCGCATAGATGCAGCCTACGAAAGGGCGGACGGCAGATTTGTCTTCTTCAAAGGTAATGCAGCCTGTGCTGTGGGACCTGGGACAGGTCCCTGCCCCTCTCTGGACCTCTTTTTTCCCATCTGTGATCTAGAAGAGGTGGGTGGGAGGCAGAGATGCACTACAAGGTCCCTTCTAGCCCAACAACGACAGTAACCTTCTCGGGTCAGATCCTTCGGGAAGGCAGTCCACCATCAGGGGAACTAAGTCAGCAAGGGCTTGTGGAGGGTGTGTAAGTGCCAAGGCACTTACAAGGTGGATGACAAGCCTTCCACATGAAGGTGGTGCTGGCAACTGGAGACCATCCAGTGCTCTGTGGAGGGTCATCTGATTTGTAAGAGCTTAGAGGGAGGAGGTCACACAGCTGCGGAGACCAGAGGGAGAAGGGAAGGGATCTGAGGGCATACCCACGCTGGGCCTGACACAGTGCAAGGTGGTCTCACACCAATTATCTTGATTTGGGCCAGACCCACAGTGGTTAACATACAGACAGTGAGAAGGGAGGGGGATAAAGGCATTCCAGGGAAGGAACAGTGAGGGCAAAGGAGGGGTGGTGGGAATGTATGTGCATGTACATTTAAAGGGCTTAGAAGGCCTCCCAACAGCCAGGGAGGCCCCAAATTGAAGAGCTGTACAAAGTGGCCTGGAAAGTAGTTTAGGGGTGAATTGTTAAAAAGCCTTGGTTGCCAGGCCAGAATGTGGTCTCGATCCATTAGGCCAAAGATGGGGACTTACTGAATGTTTCCAAGCAAGCTGTGCTATAGGGCAGCGGGCAGTGCAGTCAGGCAGCGGCAGGGTGGCCATTTCTAAGACAGTTGCTGGAACTGAGAAGAGTGAGGCCTATGAGGTCCAAACCAGGGCGGAAGCAGTGGGGCTAGAGAGGAGGGGACAGTGCAAGATGATTAGGAAGGCCTCACAGCTGACTGCTGAGAGGAGAGAGAGAGAGAGAGAGAGAGACGGTCAGAGATGAAGGTAGGGTTTCTTGGTGGGGAGGCTCAGAGGCAGAGAGGTGATGAGGGAAGAAGCCCCTCTGTGGTGCAGGTGACTTGGAGATGCCCAGAAGGCAGTGGGAAGATGGAGTATCTAGTCCAATGGGAGAGTGGCTTTGAGCCAATGCTAGAGTTAGGCGTCATTGTGGCAAGTGGGGGGAGTAGTAGTATGCAGACCTGCAGGAGAGGAGAGAGGAGTCAGTCACATGAGAAGAAAAGAGGGTGGGGCACAGAGCCTGGGCAGCATGTAGCTTCTGACTTATCCCTTAAGCTCTGCCTGGGTTAGGGGCTTCGGACTCCTACCAAGCACATCATGCAGGCCTGTGGCTCCAGACACTGGGCATCTAGCCATGACCCCCAGACCCAGCAGAAGAAGGGCAAGTGGCCCTAGCCACAACTTCTGGCACTGACTGGGGAAGGCTGATTCTGGACTCTTTTTGGCCACAGGAGACAAGTACTGGGTGTTTAAGGAAGTGACAGTGGAGCCTGGGTATCCCCACAGCCTGGGGGAGCTGGGCAACTGTCTGCCCCGGGAAGGCATTGACACAGCTCTGCGCTGGGAACCTGTGGGCAAGACTTACTTCTTCAAAGGCGAGCGGTACTGGCGCTACAGTGAGGAGCGGCGGGCCACAGACCCTGGCTACCCCAAGCCCATCACCGTGTGGAAGGGCATCCCACAGGCACCCCAAGGGGCCTTCATCAGCAAAGAAGGATGTACGTAAGGGCCCGGCTGGATGGGGTGGTCTGGGGACTGTTTTGGCATATTCTGATTGGGCAGTAAGGGTCAGCATGAATCTGATCCTCTCAAAAGTGGAGACTGATCCAGTCCTCATAACCCAGGTCATCGTCAGCTGCCCCCATGGCTCTCTCTCTCTGACCCCAGGCAGCATGAGTGAGGTCAGATCTCCTAAGTTGAAAGGACATCAGCTGCCAAACAGACAGATGCATATGCAAATTTGGGAAGTCCACAAGACATCTGTTCTGGTTACCTAGTGCCGCTCTGACAAGAATATACCACAAATGGGATGGCCTTAACAAGCAGGAGTTAATTCTTCCAATTTGGAGGCTTAAGTCCAAGTTCAAAGTGCCAGGCTCTAGGGGCTGGGTGAAAGCCCCTCAACCTTGGGGTCCAGCTCTGCCTCCTGCTCCTGGCCCACTGGAGCTAGAGCCATTTCTTCACTCAAACAGCTGCTGAGGCTGTGAAGCCCCAAGGTTGACAAGTAAAAAGGCACAGTCCCGATGTTACCAAACCACACTGCAGGCCATTAACTTAAGTAAGTCCCTTGTAAGTCCCAAGGTTGGCAGAGCATGGCAGGCTGCTGAGCAACAACAAGGCTACATGCAGGGTCCAAGCGTGCCATAGGCTACAGACCATGCCCAAGGCTTCTCTTTATATACAGGAAGCAGACCACAAAGGCAGCTACTCAGCTGCTCCCAGTAGATTCCACCATGGAGTTGATTGCCAGTCTCATCATGGGGAATACTACATCCAGCTGCCCACCACTCAGCCAGGCCCAGCCAAGTTGACACACAAACTGAACATCCCACACTTCTGCTGTGCTACCCACTAAATTTGGGGCTGGTTTCCCACTAACCCTTCAGGATGCTAGCTGTCCACACAACACCCTTACTTTCTGACCTAAAACCAAAACAGTAAACTCACTGCCATCAAGTCAGTTCCAACTCATAGCGACTCCCATTGGGTTCCCAAGGTGGTAAATCTTCCTTCCACAGAGCAGCTGGTAGATTTGAACTGCCAAACTTCTGGTTGGCAGTCAGATGCCTTAGGCACTATGCCACCAGGGCTCCTTACTTTCAAACCTGCTGGCTCCTAATTCTCCTTTGGTTTAGACAGTTCACTGGAATGACTTACGGAATTCACGAAGAGTGAAAGGGCCCTGGGTGGCACAGTTTGCACTTGGCCACTACTGGCCTAAATGTTGGTGGTTCAAACCTTCCCAGCAACACCGTGGAAGAAAGGCCTGGCAGTCTGCTTCCATAGAGACTATAGCCAAGAAAACCCAAAGGAGCAGTTCTACTCTGTAACATAGTGGGGAGCCATGAGTCAGAATCAGCTCCATGGCAACTATGGCTACAGATTAATTACACCCAAGAAGAACGTAAACAGAAGTATACGGAAGTCTGGGAGAGTTCCCAATGAGGAGCTTCCATGTCCCAAGGGATGTCCTATGTTCAGAGAGCAGATGTTCTTGGCAACCACAAATGTCTATGAGCCTCTGTGTTCAGGGATTTTATCAGCCAGTCCTGCTAACAGGCTAAATTGTGCCTCCTGAGGCTAGCTGAAGCAGCTCTGGTAGTATATAGTGGTTAAAGCATTCAGCTGCTAACCAAAATGTCAGTGGTTCAAACCCATCAGCAGCTCTGCAGGAGAGAGATGAGGCAGTCTACTTCTATAAAGATTTTCAGCCTTGGAAACCCTATGGGGCAGTTCTACTCTGTCCTATAGGGTTGCTATGATTTGGAATTGACTCAATGGCAGGGGGTCTGATTTTGGTTTGGATAGTTGGCATCAGCCTCCCAGGTGAGTCTTTTCTGGCCAGCCCCAACGTGTCAGCACACATCTCAGGTGTGGCTTGGAAGTCCCAGACCAAGGCACCCCAATTACTCCAAGGACAAAGGCCACCTTACTTTCTGTAAAGCCAGGTCCTTTATCCCACACTGATTTTATATGTTCATCAGGATGTCTCAAACTAGGGCCTACACACATGCTCTTAAGAATTTCTAGGCATGGGAAATACCTCCCTGGTGGCAGACAACTGCCTCCTACCTACCCATGTTCACATTCTCTCTTACCAGCTATGAAGTCATAATTCCTCCTTTGCTGGGATGGTTCACAGCTGAGATATTTTACAGAGAGTGACTTCATTTCTTCAGGTGGTACTTCTCAAACAGTGGTCCTCAGGGTCTTCTCTTGGGGTTCAAGTTATCAAATCCAAAAGCAGTGATGGATATGGGTAATTCAAAGGTGTTTTTCATAAGGTTTGAGGGCAAGAAGATGAAGAAAGAAGCCTTGTTTATTGAGGAGACTTTTCCTAAGCTCCTCCAGCAGGCCATCAGGTGCCCACAGGCCATCAGGTTGCTTGCAACCTGCTTCCCTCCAAGACTAGGAATTTCTCAAGAAGAGGCGCTGGGTCAGGCCCAGGGCAGAGTGGGTCTCTGGCAAAAGCACAGACTCTGTCTGGGTTCACATCTCACCTCCACCACTTACATGAGTTTAGGCAAATGACTTATGTTTTCTTATCTACAAAATACATAGTGGCTAAAGCACTTGACTGCTAACCAGAAGGCTGGTGGTGCAAACCCACCAGCCACTCCTCGGAAGGAAGGTTGGGCAATCCTACTTCCGTAGTGATACTGCCTCGGAAACCCAAGGAGGGGTCGCTATGAGTCGGGGCCGACTCGACGGCACACAACAACAACAACAACAACATCTACAAAATGAGGATGATGATGGTATCTACCTCATGGAGCTTTTGTGAGGATTAAATAAATCATGTCGAGTGCATAGAACAATACAGCGCACAGTCCATGCATTTAAGTTATAATTCCTTATCCCCTTGTTGGTGTGTTGTAGTTTATGTAGAACAGGCCTTATTCATTCACTCCACAAACAACTGAGAGCCATGGCGTGTGGGCAGGACTGGGAATGCAGCAGTGAACCAAGTCTGCAGTGCAGTCCCTAGCTCCCAGTCTGGTGGCAGAAAACAAAGGTGGCAACAAATGCTATAAGGGAAATAAATGCCATCAGAGAACTCGCCTGAGGAAGCCTAGTTAGAGGATGGTGAGGGAAGGCTTGGAGAGGAGCCGTTGATTATAGAAAAGCCAGTGGCTGCTCGTGTACCTGATGCTTTCTTTACACACACAGTCTCATTTCTAGGAGAGCCTCAGAGACAGGTGACATCAACGACCTTGACCAGTGAACATCCCTGCCAGGGTGGGGAGCTGGCCAATGAGGAGAGTCTGGGTGAACTGCTAAGGCTGTTGCTGGAGTCTTGGGGTTGCTGCCAGGGGAATGACAGGCAGGGCTGCCCAGTCCCACCCCCTGCAGGGTCCCAGAGACCCTGCTTCTGTGCTGTGATGTGTGCAAAGCCAAAAAAAGTCCATGATAATTGCCAAGAGATGGTGTCCACTGTCGACACAGAAAGAAATCTTGCTTCCTGACTCTCCTGGCTCAGGTTGGAGCTGGCCTGAGACCCAAGAGCTATGGAGGAAGTGCTATGCAAACCATAAATTGGGGACTTGATCTGATGCATGTGAGAAGTCTGTGGGCACAGTGTGGCAGAGCTGTGACCTAGGCTGAGAAGGGCGCTGTCTGGGAAGCCAGTACCTGGTGAGGTCTTTTCCTGGTACAAGTTGAACTATGTCCCAGTTCTACTTAAGGGCCCTGTGGCTTCCCAGAACTGTTGAGATCTTGGGTGCCTGTCTGCAGCTTTGTTAGTTAGCTGCCCATGCAGATAATACTTCACACTCCAGCCACATTATTTGAGGGCCGGCCAAGTGTTCCAGCTTAGCCCTCCCTCCACCTCCTCTTGGCTTCTCCAGAGTGGGAGAGGGGACCCTCCTCTATGTTGCCTCAGCACCCTATGCCCTCTCAAACCAGCAGGGTCACTGGACCCCTAGGCCTGGCCCAGAGCAGGTGCAGGGAAGTGTTCGGAAGTAGTGACACTGGACCATGTCTCTGCAGATTACACCTACTTCTACAAGGGCCGAGACTACTGGAAGTTTGACAACCAGAAACTGAGCGTGGAGCCAGGTTACCCACGCAACATCCTGCGTGACTGGATGGGCTGTAACCAGAAGGAGGTAGAGCGACGCAAGGAGCGGCGTCTGCCCCAGGATGATGTGGACATCATGGTGACCATCAATGACGTGCCAGGCTCTGTGAATGCGGTGGCTGTGGTCATTCCCTGCATCCTGTCCCTCTGCATCCTGGTGCTGGTCTACACCATCTTCCAGTTCAAGAACAAGGCAGGCCCTCAACCTGTCACCTACTATAAGCGGCCAGTCCAGGAGTGGGTGTGAGCATCCCAGAGCCCTCTCTGTCCACTCGGTCTGGCCAGCCAGGCCCCTCCTCACCAGGGCCTGAGGGCAGCTCCGGGCACTGCCCACCGGGGCCAGCAGGGCCCTAGGCCAGGGTCGTGCAGCTGAAGTGGTGGATGCATTGTCCTAGGCTGAGTGTCGGGCAGGGAGTGATGGGGGGCTGTGTCTGGGGTGGGTGTCTGGCACCCAGCTGCCAGCCTTCTATTCTGGGTAAATTATTCCCTATTCAAGGGAATAGTCCAGGCCCCGTCAGGAGGTAGGGACCCTGTCCAGGGAGCACCCATGGTCACCACGTCCTTGGGCCTGCCTATGAGGCGCCACAGCCCCAGGCCTGGCTCGGGCTCCACACCTGTGGGAAGCCAGCACGAGCTCTCTCACCCCCATCTGGGAGATGCCACCAGTCCTGGCCCCCCCCTTTTGCCAACACCTGCTGGTCAGATGTCCCTCACATACCCCAGTCCTCCAAGGCTACAGGATACCTGCTGCCAACACGGTGGGCAGCATGCCTAGGTTTCCCCTGCTGGAATACAGCAGATTCCTCAGGAAACCTGTTCCACATTGTCAAGATCTCCTCTGAAACCCAGGATGTAGGGTCACATGCTGCAGGCAGGGCTGTGGCCCATCTGGGTCTGACAAGGACCCAGCAGTCACGTGAATATTTAAATGTCCTAGCACTACTGTTTAAGTCCCATTTTGCAAAGGCTGCTTGAGGGTTTAGATGAATTAGAGGTGACTGGCTTAGTGATGAGGCCAGTGTAGCCCGCCCTTCCCCAGGTGGTAAGGACCAAGGTGCTGCTAAGGCCACTCCGGAGACCAGATACTCCAGGAGCTGGGCCCTGCTCATGAAGCTAAAGAGCTAGGGCAGGAGCTGGCCCCGTTTCTGGAGGCCCAGCTGAGCCTGAGACGCCCTCCACTCCCTCCCCCATCCCTCTGCTTCTCTTCACTTCCCCCACCCTGTCCCCAGCTGGCTCCAGCCTGTCACTTTGGCCTGGGGCTCAGTCTCACCAGTTAGGTGGGGAAAGGATAGCTCCAGGAACATTCTTAGGGCTTCGGGGTAAGGGGCCAAGGATGGCCTTCTGAAGTGCTGAGCCCACTGCTCCGACTACCCCATGGCCACCTCATCTCTCAGCCTGGAAGCAGTGTTTATACCACAAGCTTGGCCCTTCATGACCATGGGCTCACGGTACCCATCCTCTTGCATTGTTCTTAGGTAAAGGGTATGCCCAACCAGTAGTGGCCCCCAGTCTAGGGGCCTCCCTTTTTGACCCTTCTCGGGCCCAACCTTCACTGTCTCTAGCAGAAATCCCCAGGACTCAGCTTGCCTTGTTCCAACCCAGCAGAGGCAGCCCTGCTTGTCACTGAGGAGCTTGCAGCAAGACCAAAGGGCTCAGTGATGCCTGCTGGCTCTCTGCCAAAGGTGGAAGGTGGTGGAAGGTGGCCCTCAGGTGCTGCCCTTGCCCTCTGAGCTTGCATGGGCCTTGTCCCCACTCTGTGGCCTCTGGGATTTGGGTTGGCTTACCCTGAAGCACAGCCAGGGACTCCTGCTGCCTTGGGAGCTGTCTCAAGCAAAATCTCTTGTCCCAGAGGAACCAATGGGACCACTGCATCCTCTGTTATCATCCTTCTGTTTGTTCTCATTTTGGCCAAGGGCAGGCTCCCTAGGGCAGGGGGGAATGACTGTAGAGATATTAGTGATTCATAGGTTTGTACAGTGTTTTATACTTTGCAAAGCACTTTATTAGCTCACATCTGTCCATTCACATGAAACTCGTGTAGGCCCTGGGAGGCTCAGGATGACTCTCATGGTGCCCTTCCCTCAGATGAAGCACAGAGTGGTTCTGTTCCTTGTCCAGGCCATCCAGTGGGCTGCCTGGGCCTGTGTCCCACCTGTGAATCCCTCTAGGGTCCAAGGAAGCAGAGCCAAGATGAGATCACAAGTGTCTCCCCAGTCCATCTCCTCCTGGTCTTCCTTCTCTCCCCACTGGCCCCTCCACCCCTCAGGTTGGTGCTCTCACTTCTTGAAAGCTCTTAGAACCCTTAGGATCCCCCTTGGCTCCTAGAACTACCTATAGACCAGCTGAGAAAGAGCAGGAGATGGAGGCAGGCAGCCCAGGCTGCAGACGTGAGGGATGTGGGGCCAGGCCCAGAGAGGGCTGGCTTTCAATCTCGGGCTCTCCTGCTTTGTGACCATCTGTCCATCACCCCAACACAGGGCAGACAGAAGAGCAAAGCACTGGGGGCCCCAGAGCCCAGCTTTCCCTCAGCCTGGGGGACATCACAGCATTTCAGTGTCGGTCACATTTTAAACTGATCAGCCTTTGTATAATGTTTTTTAAATCATTTCTAAATAAAACAAAAATACAGTATGAGTCATTTTCCCTGGGGCACAGGGACAAGCATCTGGTTCTGAGGGTATTTCTGGGAGCAGTGGAGAAAACAGGGTGCTATGGGTATCTGGAAGCTGCCCCTGACGTCTCATCTACCAGATCAGCAATCCCAGATGTCCTTTCCAGGGGTCTAATGTTACTGCGATCCACGATGAGAAGCAGCAACTCCTCCTCCTCAGGAGTTTGAGAGGGGTCACTGTGGCAGACTTCTCTGAGGTCAAAGCACATACTGACGCAACCTGAGACCGCCAAGAGGCCAGTTCTCAGCAAGAGTAGATGGACGAGGTTAGCAGGTCTGCAGCCCTGGGATCTTACCAGGAGCCCTGGCTAGTTCTGGAAGCCAGTGGCACGGCGTAGGGGAGTCTGTCCTCAGTCATAGCCAACAGGGGATGTGACCTGAACACTGGTCAGAACCCAGAACCCTGGCAGTGGTACCGGAGACGGCCAGAGGCGAGAGTGTCCCATGCGAGCTGGAGAGGCGACCCTGCCGGGGCTTCCTTCCAGTCCCCGCGACCTCTTCGAATTCTTATCCGTCTTTCAAGGGCGCCGGGGAGACGAGAGGTGGACTGAATTAAGAGAGATACGGGGATGTGGGGAGAGCAGACAACGGTTGGGCCGGGCCGAGGCGTACAGGAACAAGGGGCTGCGGCGCCTCGATGGCCGGTTACTCTGGTGGGTGGCACAGTCAGTACCAGGTCGTGCAAGCGATAAGGAAGCGCACGTCGTCCAGAGGCCCCCACGGTCCATCCAGCGGCCCCCACGGGGCGGGCTCAGGCCGGGGCCGCTCAGGGTCCTCCGGAACCGCGGGCTGGGGCTGCGCCGTCTCCGGGATGCTCTGGTCGCCGCTCAGCTGGGCGCCCATGGTCCGTAGGAGATGCCCTTCAGGTCTCAAGCCCGCAGCACCCCCACCCAGGGCCCTGGTGTGCCCCTCACCTCACGCAGCCGGAACCGCAGCTCTGAAGACCCTACAGATGCCAGCGTACCCACTTGCACATCGACACCCGCAGGAATTGGCGGTTTAGCGTCACTACGCTCCGTCCCTCAGAGCGGAAACGAGGACCACGTGCCCCGTGGGTGGGGCCCAACCACGGCCCACCCTTGCCCCACACGTCAAAGGCCCCGCCTTCCAAAGACCCCGCCCACGGGAAGCGTGACAACAGATTGAACTGCTTCCAGCCAGCAAGGCCCAAACAAGCACTGACTGGTATCCGGTGACTTCTGTTAGCAACTTTTTTAGTGCAGACGTGGTGATCCTGCCTCCGAAGCCCAAGGAGGGGTCGCTATGAGTCAGGGCCAACTCGATGGCAAATAACAGCAGCAGCTGCCAAGAGGGCTTCCAAGTCTGTAAATCTTAAGCCTCAGCTTTCTCTGGCAGAGGGACTGGTGGGTTCAAGCCACTGATCTCTGATTAGCAGCCAAATGCTTTAACCACTATTCCACCAGAGAACCTTCACCAAGGCCCAAGAGGGCTTTAAGAAACTTGGGAATCCACTGCTGAGGTCTTGCCCACCGAAGCTCCAAGGGAAAGGGGTCTGTTCATGTTGCTCTGCAGTGTCCAGGGCACCTCAATCCACCTTAAGTATGAAACTACCCTGTAGCCAGGTGACCCAACCACAGGGTCCTACCTAGAGAAGATTTGGGGCACATTATCATCCTCTGAAGGAGCTCTGGTAGCATAGTGCCTAAGGCACTTGACTGCTAACCAGAAGGCTGGCAGTTCAAAGCCACCAGCCACTCCCCAGAAGGAAGGTTGGGCAATCTACTTCTGTAGTGATACGACCTTGGAAACCCAAGGAGGGGTCGCTATGAGTGGGTCTGACTCTACGGCACATAACAACAACATCATCTGAAGCCCAGAAAAGTCTGAGAGGCTGAAGTTGGGTGGAAAATGTGAGAACTTCAGTGAAGAGTACTTCTCTCACCTGGCAGGGATGCCTACCATCCAAGGAGCTGGGGGAAGGGAAGGGAAGTGGGTAGGGGAACTTCAGTTATGTATATAGAATGGTATCCCATCTTCCCAGGACCCTGGAACGATGGGGTGGGGGTGGGGGCGGGGACCTGAGTACAAATAACACATTCAGAATGGCCAGAGGCAGCTGCCTTTTAATACTGAGACAAAAGACAACAGAGTCCTCAGTCAGGAGCCACAGGGTCTGACAGCCAGCTTGAGGTGGCATGTTTTTATAGTAACCGCATGTTCAGATGGGCACAGGTGAAGAATGGCTGGTCATCCAGCCACTCAGTCCCCATGAGCTCTCTGCCTCCTCCCTGCCAGTGTCCGGTACAGCCTGGGTGAGGCATGAAGAGGCAGTCAAAGGCCAGAATCTGGAGCCCATGGAGCAGTGTAGAGAGTGACTCAGGTGAGGCTGGAGAGGAAGAAGCATTGTCAGTAGTGGCTTCACAGAGTACACCCCATCCTCCATTCTCAAAGTGCTTGCCTCCACCCTCACCCCTGGACCTTTGTTCCAGCTCAGAACTTAAGAGCCGCTCAGAGCCCCACCTGGCTCCATCTAGGCTCCAGGCTTGAATGCATCCCATGAGTCACCCTTCAGTTTAGAACTCTCAATTAAAGATTGAAAGAAACTCTCTCCCCACTCAGTGAGTCAGCTTATTCATCAACTTACTCAAACTGTTACTGGTCATAAGCCAGAGCCTCGGGGGGTTAAGTCCAGTAGACATCAGAAAAAGAAACAAGGGGACTCAGAGATGGGGAGGCACGTGCCTGGACCACAAGTCTTCCAGGGGCAGGGTGAGGCCAGAACTTTTCCAAGGCCAGGACTCTCCTTTATTAGTACCAACTAAAAAGCTACAAGTAGTTGTTATGTGCTGTCAAGTCGGACCCGACTCACAGCGACCCCTCCTCCTTGGGTTTCCGAAGCAATATCACTACGGAAGTAGATTGCCCCATCTTCCAAGGAGTGGCTGGTGGGTTTGAACCACCAGCCTTCTGGTTAGCAGTCAAGTGCCTTAGGCACTATGCTACCAGCGCTCCCAAAAAGTAGCAGGCTGGAAGAGACGAGCTCAGGAAGGGTTTAGTAAAAGTGCTCTTACTCCAGGTGATAATGTGTGTATAACTGAGGTACATATTTTTAGTTGCCAACCAACATCCCTATCTTGAGGTCTCATGGACACCTCAAACTCAGCATGTCCAAGATCAAAGGATTTTAGTGAGTTTTGTCTCTTCCTTTCCAATATCCAATTCTTTACTTTGTCACAGGTTAGGACCACCAGAACAATGCAGGCATTCATTGATGGTAACAAATTCTGCCCCATTTCAAATGGTACTGTTTGTAATGTTTCACCACTAAATGTAATTAACAGCTGTAGTTTTCTAGTAGGGACTCACTATCAGGTTACAGAAATTTCTCAAGTTGCTAAGAGGTTTTGTTTGGTTTTAATTAAATGACTATATATGGAGTCACCATTCTAAAAGGGCAGAAAAGGTATCTATTTATCACCATATCACTAATGTCTGGTACATAGTAGGTGCTCAATATAGTGTTAAGCAGATGACAAAACCACTTGTACTTCCTTCCTGGTTATAACCTTTCAATGGCTCTCCAGTGCTCACACCAGAGTTTGACAGGGTGGTACCCCAACTGTCCCCATCAGAATTACCCAGGAAAACGTATTTAAAAAAAAAAACAACACATGGCTCAGATCTCAGGGGTGATAGCAGACATCTATTTTAGCAAGCATCCCGATCAATCCAACATGCACTAAGGCTCAAAACCACAGGCCTACGATCCAACTTCTTAAAAAGTGAAAGTCCTCAAACACTCTAGAAATACCACCTTGTCCCCTTCATACATACACTCCCCACTTTCCCATCTTTGTGTCTGCTTGAGGGTGTTTGCCGCCCCCATCTCTGCAGATTCCAATACCTGCTCATCCTTAAATCCCAGACTATGATCTGTCCCGCATGAAACCTTCCTGGATCCCACAAAGTTTCTCACCAGAGCCTCTGATGCCATCTGATGACACTTTTTATTCTTCCTTTAAAGGTAGCTACAAGTTATGCACGGCCACTGTCTTTTCACCCCTCCTCTACTCTTGAGCTCCTCAGAGGCAGGATTAGGACCAAGTTGCCTGAATAGGCCCCCATGGGCCTTGTTCATTTGGCTCAGTAACATCAGGCAAATGAATGAAGGAGAAAGAGTAAAGGCACATTTTGCTCATGGTGAGAAGGGAGGATGTTACTTGGCACTTGCTCTACTTTGGGGTTCCTATCCCTTATCAAAGACTTTGGTGCCTAGTTGGGTATGACATGTCTTGAGACAGGATCCTCAGTGAGAATCAAAGGGGGCTGCTAAACCACCCAGCATCTGCTGCTCTTCCAAAGAAGAGCTTCTAGACCCTCCTACCCCAGGAATCTCCAGGGCTGGGGCCCAGGATCATATTTTGTTGTTTTCAAATGTACAAAACCCCAAATCACTTGAGATTATGATGCAATACCCACCCTCCAACCAGTTCAAGAGCTCTCTTAGACATCAGAGGTCTCTTCAGTTTCTAAGAGTAACTCCCCACCTCTAAACAAACAGCTCTTTCCTGTCTCAGGCTGGCAAATGCAAACCACACAATGTAGTCAGTGATAAAATAAGCTTGCTTAGAGGGGACACCAAGCTGAGACTTCAAAGATAAGCATTAGCAGATACTTGGGCAGCATTTGCCACCTGTATCCCATGATGCACAGCAGTGCCCAGGTAAGCATTCACACACAAGGACCAACTAGTTCGAACAGAGTGGCTCCCACGCTAGGCACCATCCTCTTCCCCTACCCTTAAAAGGCAAAGTGAGACCCCTACTCTGGGCAGAAGAAAGGAGAGGGCCCACATACCTGTCAATGAGGGAATCCCGCATGCTGGTGGCAATGGCACTGGGCTGGGCTTCATTGAGCTTGAAGACACTCTCCACTACTGATAGCTCCGTGCTGGTGGTGTCCAGGCCACAGAAGGCACACCAGTCGTTCACCACCATCCCAGCAGCGATCACCTCACTGCCTCGGTTCACCGTGCCCGCCTGCCAAGGGATGGGCTCAGCAGGTGTCATAACCACATTACCAAAGTCTCTCCCCTTCCTGATGCAGACTCTCCCCAGACACTGCTCCCTGACATGCATCCCCAACCCCAAACTGTGGCAGGATGGCCAGATACCCAAACACTAGACAAAGGGGTGTGCCTCACAGAAGACAGGGGTTAGAGTTGGGATGCTTACCACAAGGGGCACCTGAAGGAGAGAGGACAGCTCATCCTGGTCTTCAATTGAAGTCTTGGGATGCACCAGCCCTCCCTGATTGCTGAAGATAGAGTAGCTTCCTACTAGCACCTGGTCAGCCACTGTCTGTCTGAAGACCTCCACCTTGAGCACATCAGCAAGGATTTCTTCTGTCTCCTACCAAGAGACAGGAAGTACTGTGTACTTGCAGGCCAAAGAACCAAGGGCTTTCCATGTCCAGAACTTCCCAGTGCTTGGCTCCCTAGGCCTCTCATTCCTCTGCTACATAGCTGTATATGGAAGCTTCACCAAGAAAAAGGCAAGAATGTATCTTGAAGCAGAGAGTAGGCCAGCTCTACAGACCCTAATAGCTACTCATGCTGTGAACAGGCAGGGTGCTGGTCTCCCCAATCACCTTCTTCCCTCTACCCCACACCCAAGAGTTCAACTGTCAATCTTTTAGGTCCCCTGTTCTGAAGCATTAATCCCCCTACAGCTTCTTTCTGACACTGACCACACCACGAAAAGCCTCTCTACTGTTGTTACAATACTGAGTGCCTAACATTTGAGAGCCCAGGTACAAGGAGAAACCACAAGAGATGCTCATAATGCCTGCCAGATAGGCAAGAAGAGTGGCTGACCACTGATTAGGCTGGTCCTGTGACTTGTGGGCAAGTTAGGCTGCCTCACCCTGTCCAGGTCTGGGTGGACCAAGGCCACGTAGTCGTTGCAAGTGGTGACATTGCCCAGGGCCGAGAGCCGTTCCTCCACCCGACGGATCTGGACTGAGTCGGGGAGGCAGTTGCGGATGTGCTGCAGCTCCTGGTCAGTGGTGTTGTTGGGCACCAGGAGACCATGCCTGTTCCCTGGTGGGCAAGGAGGGACCATGAAGACACAAGTATTCACTAAGCCTATCAACTTTTCCCAAGAAAGCTTTAGGCCCAGACTCCAGCCCTCCAACCCACTGATCCATACAATGCCTAGTAGGACCAGGAGTCTCAGCAAGCAGGCCAGCAATGGCCCAGGAGTTTGTCCCAACCCAACTTGCCCATTTTACCTTCATTATCCAGAATAAGCAGGACTAGCAAGAAAGACTCTTGGCATTAGTTGTACATTTCACTACTTAAGACATTGAACTAACACACCTACCAAACCAAACTCACTGCTATCGAGTCAGATCTGACTCACAGCAACCCCTCCTTGGGTTTCCGAGGCAGTATCACCATGGAAGTAGATTGCCCAACCTTCTTTCTGAGGAGTGACTGGTGGGTTTGAACTGCCAGGCTTTTAGTTAGTAAATGCCTTAGGCACTACACCACCAGAGCTCCCACACACCTACCAGAACAGCTAAAATTAAATTCTAATTTCAATACCAAGTGTTGAAAAATAAAACACACACACTCTGGTCAAATACAAACTGCTCAACCACTTTAGATAATTATCTGGCATCATCTATTATTACTGAATATTTACATACCCTATGACCTAGCCTTTCTACTCCTAAGTACAGATCCAACAGAAATACGTACAAATGTTCACTAAAAAACATAGCAGCACACCCACTATGATGGTTAAGGTTTGTGTCAACTTGCCTAGGCCACGATTCTCAGTGGTTTGGAAATTAGGTAATAATATAATCATCCTCTATGATGTGATCAGCCAATTCATTGTAGGGGGACTTTCCTTAGGGGTTTGGCCTGCATCATCATATATATACAGACATCATTCTGGCAAAGCCCACCACATGCTCTGGATCCTACATCTGGCTTATCATCATCTGACCTCCACTCCTTGGGATTCATCAGCCTCTGCAGCCTGAGAGCCAGCACCAGCCATCTTACCTGCCTAGTTTGGACTTGTCAGCCTCTGCAGCCCCTGAGCCAGCAGCCTGCCATCTGACCTGCTGATCTTGGATTTGTCAGCTCCTGCAGCTAAGTCAGGAGAAGCCTTCAGCCTGACCAGACGCATGGACTTGGGACTTGCTAGCCTCTACAAGTGTGTGAACCACTCCTTTGAGATCTCTCTCTATCTACAAATAACAGCTGATGACAGCAGATCAAAAAAGGTCAAGGCTGCTCAACAGAACCAAACAGACTCAGGTGCTGCTGTCAAGAACTCAGCACTTGATCCGTCTCTCCACCAACAACCTTCCCAAGAGATATTCAGCTAACAGTTCCAGAGAAAGCCGGAGGGCCAAGCAAGGTCAGTGTGCCCCCAGCCCACAAGCTGGGCCTGACCTCAAGCACAGTGAGAACTGTAGGGTCCAGCAGAACAGACTTCTACCTGTGTATCAGGACCCCTGGAAAAGGGCAGTAGTTGAATAGAGAGCAGTGTCCCTGCTAGGACTCTTTTTTGGTCAACAAGTACTTCATCAGTGGAAGAAAATAATTCCTTATAAATCTAAACACAGTATACTCCGTAGATCTCTCCTGCATTAAGTATTGAAAAGGTCTGGAAGGACATCGCAGACATTCCTCTCAGAAAGATCTGTATAAAGCTTTTTTGGGGGGTAAATGTTACAACCAAAAGGCAAGTACTATAAAACAACTTCTTTTTGTATATGTATTTTACACTAAAAATGCAAAACACATTTTATACTTTTAGTAAACAGCTTTTAAGAAAATGTAAACTTTTGCTTTATGGTACTTCCTATGTGTGACATTAAGCATGAAATACATTTAGATCAAGAATATCTTTCAAATGAATAAAATGAAAGGGAGAAAAAAACCCCACAGATATTGCAGCACTATTTATAATAGATAGCAAGGAGCTCTGATGGTGTAGTGGTTAAGGCATTCAGCTGCTAATCAAAAAGTCAGCAGTTCAAACCCACCAGCTGCTCCATGGGAAAAAAACGAGGCAGTCTGTTTCCATAAAGGTTTATAGTCTTGGAAACCCTATGGGGCAGTTTTACTCTGTCCTAAAGACTCTGAGTAGGAATTGACTCAATAGCAGTGGGTTTTTTATTTATAATACCCAAAACTGAAAATTCTTCAAATGCCCATTGTTAACAGACTGGATGAATACAATGTAGTACATCCACACAATGTGTATTACACAGCAACAGGAATGAACAAACTGCAATTACACTGAAACAACAATGACTAGATCTCTGCCCATCCCTAGGAGGCCACAACTATGAACTTCTGAACCCTGAATTACTCCCATCATAAAAAACACGAAGGGCCCTGGTATCGAAGCATGTTATGTCAGAACTTACTTCAAGTCCTGAGAGCATGATTAAGGATCAGAATGTTTCACCTGAATAAGAAACTATTCAGAGGCCAAGGCTTATAAGCCTTATGATAAAAAAAAAAAAATAAGTAAATAAAAGAACAGACTTCTATATGACCCCAGTGGGAACAAAAGATGACAGTAGAGACAGATTCAGTGCAAAGAAAGAACCAATGGCCAGAGTCAACAGTGCTGAGGGGACAGAAGGAAAGGGTTGGAGGCTACTCAGAGGTGGTATTAAAGGAATGTAAGATTTAAATGGATAACTGGGCTGGGTGACCCAAAAGCTTAGCCATTGTTTTGTTGTTGTTATGTGCCGTCGAGTCGGACCCGACTCATAGCGACCCCTCCTTGGGTTTCCGAGGCAGTATCATTACGGAAGTAGATTGCCCCATCTTCCTTCCAAGGAGTGGCTGGTGGGTTTGAACCACCAGCCTTCTGGTTAGCAGTCAAGTGCCTTAGCCACTACGCTACCAGAGCTCCCAGCCATTGTTTTAGAGAGGCAGAAATGGACACTCTGAAAGAAAAAGCAACTTAATCAGTCAGCGGCAGACCGATAAATTCAAATCCTCTTCTACATTAGGTGTGGGACTTGGTGAGTCACCTAAGCTGAGTATTAGCTTCCTCATTAGTCAATGGGGCAATAATTCTTCCTGCTTCCCAGGATCTTTGGGAAGAAAGAATGAGATAAAGAGTGTAAGAGTGAAAATATTTAATATTATTTGTTGTTACTATTACTCAGAAGGCTTTGCCAAAGGTTGTCCCTGGAATCTGCTGATACCCAGACTAGGGCCTTCCCAACTCCAAGAATTTAGAGGTTCTATAGTTCCTGGAGATAATGGAAACCTAGGCATCGCTGGATCACGCCCGGTTTCCTCAAACACAAAACATGGAAAACCAAATTCACTGCCATCGAGTGGATTCGGACTCACAGCGACCCCCAACCGGATTTCCAAGGCTGTTCAACTCCACACCGCCCCACCTTTCTTCCGCGGAGCGGCTGGTGCGTTTGAACCGCTGATCTGCTCAGCAGCTAAATGGCTTATCCACTACGCCACCAGAGCTCCTTCCCGGTTCCCTACAGGGGTATAATTAAAGGTCCTGGGGTGGCTTCAACCTCAGTCTCTGCACCCCTGCAGTCCTCCACCAGCCTTACCCACACACATACGCCCGATGATCCGGCAGCCTGCGATGGACGCGTGTACCACGGGGATGGTATCGGCGAGCTCACCCTCGAACACACTGTGGGGACAGGGACTCGGCGGTCACGGGGCTGAGGGACCGGTGCCCTCCCCCTGCAGGAGCCCCCGATTCCCAGCACCCCTCCTCGCTACCCACCGCTACCCACCGCCCGCGGGCCCTGGGATTCCCGCCGCACCTGTAGAAGTTCTCTGATCCCCCAATGGCCACAAGGCAGTAGGTGTTGGTGAGCTTAGCAAAGCAGCCTATCTCACAGTTGTTCTCGAACGACGCTCGGACCGCCATGAGGCCTAAAAGCTGCGGGGCCGGGAATTCAGGGACAGCCGATCTTCTATCGACCCCGGGTCCCCCGGGCTTGGCCCCTCAGAACCTGACAGGAACCCTTTCCCTCTTGGCGCCATGACCCCTCCCCTCTTGGGCTCAAGTCCCTCAGCATTCGAACCTAAGACTTCAGGTACCATCCACTAGGACCCTCCACACTTTCTACTCCTGAATCCTCCCCCACCCCTGCCGACCCGGCATATCCCTTCAAACCAATTTACCAAGTAATCACAACCTCCACACGCGACAACCACCACTTCGCCTCCCTAAATAAACTTCCGCTTCCGTCCTCGCGCTTGGAGATTTCCGGAAAAGCCCCGCGAGCTTCGCCACGCATGCGGCTACTCTAGCTCCAACTTCCGGGAGGACTCTATGGTTTCAAATTGCCTGGTTGAGACCGCCGGCCCTGCCTGTAGCATGTTGGCATTCATGCATTCATTCCGAACTTTTATTTTTGTTGTTGTTAGGTGCCCTAGAGTCTGGTTCCGACTCATAGCGACCTTATGTACCACAGAATGAAACACTGTTCGATCCTGCGCCAGCCTCTCCATCCTTGCTATATCTGAGTCCATCCTTGCAGCCACTGTGGCGGCAATCCATCTTGTTGAGGGTCTTCCCCTTTTTCGCTGACCCTCCACTTTACCAATGTATCTTTCTCCAGGAATGGTCTCTTCTGACATCATGACTAAAGAACCTTTTTTAGGAGGTACATTGAACGATACCTGCGGCTGGTCGAATGTGAGGCAATACAGAGAGAAGGAGTCAGGGATGTCTCCCAGAAGATGGGTTGATGATGGAGTTATTTACTGAAATAAGACCAGAGGAGGAAGAGCAGGTCTGGGAGAAGGGCTAAGAACATTTCTGCCTCGCTGGATGTGAGGCATGGAACAGACGTCCAGGAAGTAGGAGGATGACCATATCTGACTGATGGGCTTAGGAATTAGAGTTAGGACTGAAGCCTGGGATGGATGAGCTCACTCAGGGAAAGGATGTCCTGTAGGGAGACGCAGACCAAGATAGAGGCTGGAAAAGGAGAGATGACCAGAGAAATAGGAGGGAAGCAGACTGAAGCGGATATTGGAGAGAGGGGGGAGAGTGGATGAAGCATTGTCTTAGGAGAAGGTTGTGGGGGAGAGGCCCAGGGTGGACCTGGGGTGGTGGCTAACTGGCTTGTACATGTGCTTCTTCTGTGTACTCGATCATTCATTCAGCAGCCACCTTCAATCCCTTGGATAGAGGTGGCAGCCAAAGCCCACCTTAAGGGGCTCTGGTGGGGAGGAAAACCAGGTCCACATTTTGTAGAGCCCAGGGCCTCTCAGATGTCACAGTGAAGGCAGAGGGGTCTTGGAGCCCTTTGTCTCCATCTAGACCTCTTATGATCATCTACTCTCCCCTAGGGAGCCCTCCAAACGTGGCCTGAATGGGGACTTTCCTGTCCCCCACCAAGCAGTTCCAGGACTCTGCACTCCTCAGACACACCAGGCAGCTGTGGGTCATAGCCATGTCCACTTTTATTGATTTGTGTCAGGTACACTCTCAGGCAGCAAAAGGCCCATATTCTGTCAGCCTGTGCTTCAGGAGCCACTCAGCAAACTGACGTGTGTGTGGTTAGATACCTGCCTGCTCTCCTCCCCCTCCTTCCTTCACTGAAAACCCACTCACTCATTGGGTCCTGGCCCTCTCCTCACCTGCTTCCCTCTCCCAGGAATCCCTCTTCATCCTTCAAGACCTAGATCAAATGCTGCCCTCTCTGAGAAACCTTTCTGACAACTCTATCCTCCACAGCCTATGGTTTTCATTCACTGCCACCCTCTGTCCCTAGTTAGCCTTTAATTAAACACCCCTCTGCCCTTTGATCAATGTTTTGTGCATTTAATCCTTGTCTCCCAGGGACGGACTCTGATTCATTCGTCAGCCCTGTGGCATGCCCAGCCCAAGGCTGCATACACAGCTCAGGTTCCAAAGATGCTGGTCGCCATGCGTGTGTGCTCAGGCATACATGTGAGTGTATTGGGTTATGTGCTTAAGGATCCTTATGTGGATCCTGAGGGGGCAGACACTATGCACTGAATGCATGTATTCATTTAGCCAAGTGACGCTTACTGAGTGCTTACAGTGTTTTGGTTTCTGTCATGAATCTGTATGTATTTATTGGTTGAGTACATCTGTGAGTGTACAGTTTGTGAGTGTGTGCCCTGTTGGCATGCCTATGTGAATTGTGCAGGCATTTGGAGCATTTCTGTGACATGTGTACTTTCTGTGCATGGGACACATGAACAATGGATATTGTGTGTCGTGTGTGAAAAAAAAAACATCATCTTTAGAGTCAGGCAGAGATAGGGTTTGGGTCCCTACTCTGTCATTTACTTGGCTCTGACTTCAAACAAGTCTTCTCTGGCCTCAGCTTCCACATATTTAAAATAGGAATGATGATACTTACACAGAGAGATGTTGAAAGGATGAGGGATAAGAAGAAGTAACTAGTGTGAATGCCCTGGGAGCTCTGGTAGCATAGTGGCTAAGACACTTGCCTGCTAACCAGACGGCTGGCGGTTCAAACCCACCAGCCACTCCTCAAAAGGAAGGTTGGGCAATCCTACTTCCGTAGTGATAACTGCCTCGGAAACCCAAGGAGGGGTCGCTATGAGTCGGGTTTGACTCGACGGCACATAACAACAACAACAACAACAGTGTGAATGCCCAACACAGTGTCTAGTGGTAGGGGTTCAATTACTGAGGGTTCCATTTCTCTCTCTCTCTCTCTCTCTGTCTCTGTGTGTGTGTGTGTGTGTGTAAGTGTATATATGAGCCCAGGGAGTATCTGCGCTGACCTCCTAGGCAACTCCCTCCCCATGCAGCCCCTGATCAGAGTCTAGGATCTGAGCAATCTTTGGGGGGGGGGGGGACCTGTCCTTGCTGGGAATGGGGCTAGGACTCAAAGCGGCTTCGGAGCACCCTGAACTTGTTGTACTTGGTGATGAGGTCCAGCTTACTGTGGCCCAGAGTCAGCCGCTTCTCATCCCCATACAAGTCATTGCTACCACTATTGTGATGGCCACCTGTTGAGTCCCCAGGCAGGCCTGGTTCAGGTGCCTGCCTGACAACCTGCAATTGGTGATACTTGGTGATGAGGTCCAGCTTACTGTGGCCCAGAGTCAGCCGCTTCTCATCCCCAGAGCCCACTTCAGTCTTGCGAACAGGGCTCGGACCAGGGAGACCAATGCGCCCGGGCCCCTCAGCCCGGAATGGGCCACACTTTGTGATGAGGTCCAGCTGGCTGTGGCCTAGGCTATGCCGCCACTCATCTGGGCCCTGCTTGCTGGGCCTGCTGGGGGAGCTGGCTTCAGGGGGCACTTTGGAGCCCTGGGCCTTGGAGAACTGTGTCAAGAGGTCCAACTGGCTGTGGCTGTGGCTTGGGGACAGCCTTCTCTCCTCTGAGACCTGATCACCAGTTCTGGGAGAGCCTGACTCAGGAGTGCTCCCTGCACCCTGAGCCTTGGGCAAGAGGTCCAGCTGGCTGTAGCTCTGGCTTGGGGACAACTTCCTGTCCTCTGGGGCCTGCTCTCCAGGCTGAAAGGAGCCTGAGCCGGGGGTAACCCCAGAGTCGGGCCCTCCAGCTTCTCGGGCTCTGGGGAAGGGGACCAGGAGGTCCTTCTGGCCATGGCTCTGATTCAGAGATGCCTTCCTCTCATGCACTGTCTCCAGGACTGGGCCAGGAATTCGACGACCTCGTGGGGGACTAAGCTCCTGGCTTCCTGAGAACCCATTCTCTGGGAGCCGGGACAGGGCTGGACCACCCCGGGGGAAGGGGAAGAGGGGGCGTGGATGGGAGAGCAGATGTGAGCCCACTGCCAGGCCCGGGGGGCTAGCGTTATGGTGGTTGAGGGCAGGGGAGGACTGGGACCATGAGGACACTCCCAGCTTGCTCAGGTTGGCCCTATAGAACCCAGGAGGGGCGTCATGGTTAGGGTCTGACAGCTGACGTTGCAGGGGGAGCTGGTTACTGGTCTCACGGTGGGCAGGACCTGGGGACGAGGTAGAGCAGCCTCCCAGTAGAGCGAGGTAGGAGGCGCGGCCCAGGAGAGGAGAGCGCTTGACGCTGCCGAGGCTGGTGCTGGAGGGCGAGGAGGAGGTGGGGCTTCTTGGGAAGCCAGGCCTGAAGGCCAGGGTCACCTGGGGAGGGTGTGGTACCCTGGGTGACAGGGGCTCCTCACTGCCACCGAAGCCCTCCACAGGCTGAGACTCGGCATACAGACAGCGGAACTCCCGGTCGAAGTCCTCCACGATTCGGCCCCTCAGCTGCAGCACCATGCTCGTGTGGGCCTGGCTGCACAGCCAGGTGAAGCTGGGGCAGAGCGGCAGGGGTCAGGAGGCCAAGCACAACCCCGGGACTGGCCAGAAGTCATAACCAGGGGGGCAGAGTAAGGAAACTGGACTAAAACACTGCCACGAAGGCCCCACAGTGAGGGAGACAGAGCTCTGACCCCAGCGTCTGCACTAGTCCTAGCTCTGCTGAGTGGACTTGGGCAAGTGGCTGCCCAACTCAGGGCCTCAATTTCCCCATCTGTAAAATAGACTGGAGAAAGGTTCTCTGAAGTCCCTCCAGTTCCAATATATAAAAGTTATTCTCTATGCCAAGGATATGAAAGTAACCCTTTCACTACAGTGAGTGCTCCATTCTATCCCCTGGGCCCTGCACAGTGCCTGGCAGGCAGCAGGTGCTCAGTACATGTTTGAAGGGATGGGTGAAGGAGGGAAATTTCAAAGCTGCTAGATCCTAGATGCCCTCAGCACCCAGGACACAGCCCCAGGCCTTCTACCTCCAGTCCATGTGCTTACCTGTAGCTGCCTGCAACCACCTGCTCACAGTCGATGATGATGAATTTCTCCAGGGCCTGCCCTGTGAAGCGGCGGCCTGCCTTGCTGCAGTATGTGTCCCCACATATGCTTCGCACACGCATGTTCTGCACCAAGGAAGGGAAAGGAAGCTGGGGAGGTGACCTTGACAGACTAGGGCCAAAACAGCTAAGGGAACCCATTCCCTCCGCCCACTGACCCCCCAACTTGACTCTCCTGCCCTGCCCCTTACTGACTGGCAGGTGCCCCCCATTGACATCCATCTTGTAGCACATCTCCAGGAAGTGCCTCAGGTATTCCTGGGCCAGGAGCACGTAGACGGGAACACCACGCCGGCTTGAGGCCTCCATGAGGTCACACAGAAGCTCCATGTCGGTGAATATGTCCATCACCACAGCCACGACCTGGGGGAGGAAAGGGAAGCTCAGCCCTGCTGGGGGCACTGCCTATATCCACTCCAGCCCCAGGGCAGGGCTGGAACCCAGAAAGGGCACTGGACTGAGAATCAGGAGTCCAGAGCCTGTGAGAACATCTCTGGAATCACTTTAGCAGTGACGTAGACCAAGGCTTCTTAACTTAGGCACAGGGAGTTTTGACTGTTTTGAACCCATGGAAGTTATTTTAAAGTTTTTGTGTGCATTTTTCTGTGTTTATCTGCCATTGGATTCTCAGAAATGTCTGTGGATCCATGGTGCTGATCTAAAGCCCCTTTCTACATAAGGGATCACTGAGGCCCAGAGCGGGAAGAGACCCGGGTTCCCAGTCTAGCACTAGCCCTAGTTCTGGCTGGTCTGAGGTTCCCCTTTCAAAGGTCAGAGCTACAAGCTAGTTAGTAGGGTCTCCAAGGCCCTTTTCCAGTCCTGCCTCAGTTTCCTTGTGAAGCTGCAGAGGTCTGGCATGACACTCATGGAGTCCCTCACTTCCATCATGCCAAGTAGAACAAAGTTTCTTGTTCAGTCCAGGGACTGGGGCTTACAGCTACTACTCTACATACAGGCCTATCTCAGAGAGGCCTGATATCCCCTGGGGCCTCAAAGCCCCTACTGCTACTTCTTCCCACCACATGTATCTGCTGTGAGAGTCTCCTCTCCCAGACAGCAGAGGCAGCAGGGGCAGAGCAGAGCCCTGGGTTCAAATGTGGACTCTGTTCTTCCTGGAGCTGCAGCTTTAGGTGAGTCGCTTTACCTCTGGAAGCCTCAACTTCCTCATCTGTTAAATGGAGATAATGATAGCCAGGTTTTAGAGTTATAGGGAATTACACGTGAAGGGGCTCCACACACACCAGAGGCACAATTAAATGTTCCTTTCCTGATGCCTTCTTAACAAATGGGGACATACTGGGCCTTAGGGCGGGAAAGCACTTCTCAAGGTCACTCCAAGCCAGTGATGAGGCCCTGATTAGAGGGGTCCAGATGGGGGGTGAGGATGCCCCTGGCTGGGGGAATAAGGACAGGTAAGAAAGATCAAAGGGACAGGGTGGCGATAGCAGCCATAGCAATAACCACCCTAATGACCCCATTGCTGATGCCAATCAGGCCTGGCCCTCCCCTGCCTGGGGCACTGGCAGGCTTGCCAGGGAGGCTCTGCCACAGGTACTGGGGGACCCTGGCATCCTGCCTCCTGAGCTCTATAGTGAGAACCTTCCAGGCTGCTTCCTTAGACCAGGGTCATCTTATCCATGCCCCTGCCTCCTGAGCCACAGAAGTCAGAGCCCAGCAGTGAAGCTCTGCCAGTACGTGGCTGGGGCCCCCTCACCACGCCTTCCTGGAGGCACCAGGCTTCCGTCTCTCCTGTTCTCTTTCTCCTGAGCCCCCTGCTCCCCAGCCCCGAGCCCAGCAGCCTCCCTTCCCCCTTTCCCTGCCAGTGCAGAGCTAAAAGCCCAGCCCTGAAGGCCATGCATGGCCTCCCCCCTGCCCTAGGCTCAGCTAAGATGCTGTGCAGGAGGGGCTGAGACGCAGCTGAGGGATAGGCCAGGGTGCAGGGCTAAGCCAGGGCCCCAGGCCCTTTGTCGGGGTCCCCTCTCACCCAGAGTCCTGTGCTCCCTGAGCAAGTCCCAGCCCCTCTCTGGCCTCAGTTTCCTCCCCTATAAGTCAAGGAGATGGCTCTGATGTTCTCTGAGGTCGCAAGTCTTAGTTTGGGGATCACAAAACTTTTTGGCATCTGATGAAGGTCATGGAGACCCCAGAAAGATGGAGTATGCATCTTTGGAATAAGCACAGCTTTGCTGAGGCTCCACACTCATTCTGTGCTATTCATAGTTTTCTTCTTTTCCCCTCAATTTTATTTATTTTCTTTTTTCTGTTGAGAAAAAAACAAACAAACAACTCACTGCCGTCAAGTCGGATCCCACTCATAGTGACCCCTCCTTGGGTTTCCGAGGCAGTATCTCTACAGAAGTAGATTGACCAACCTTCCTTTCAAGGAGTGGCTGGTGGATTTGAACCGCCAGCCTTCTGGTTAGCAGTCAAGTGTCTAAAGCAAAACATTCACCAATGCAATAGTTTCTACATGTATAATTTAGTGACAGTGGTTACAACCTTCAAGTTGTGCAACCAATTCCCAATTTACTTCTCTGAGTTGTTCCTTCCCCATTAACAAACTCACTGCCCCCTAAGGTTCCCATCTAATCTTTCAAGTTTTCACTTTGATCACATACAGATAGTTCTTCAAAGAGATGAATGCTTAAGGCAGATACTTTCTACTAGTGGAGCTGAACTACTATATGGTTTTAAGATGACTTCAGGGGATCCGCAGTTTTCTTGAGTGCCAGAGGATTACAAGGTAAATAAGAAATACATGCCTACCCTCTAGGAGCTTGTGATCTAGTACAGGCCAGAGATTCTAGTCCCAATTCTGCCCCTAAATTGCTGTGTGGCTTTTGGGCTCTTCCCTTCCCCCCTCTGGACCTGTTTCCACATCTGGAAATTTGGAAGAGATGAGGTCCTTACCGTGCGGGCCTGACTGAAGAGGAAACGCAGCAAGTCCTTGATGTTCTTGGCCTTGTCCCGCTGGAAGTGGACCACGGCCTGGGTGGGGCTGAAGCCAGTGGCCTGTGGAACCTCAGGCCAGCCCAGGTCCAGGTCCGGGGGCTCTAGATCAGAGGCCATGGGGAAGTACGTGCCTGAGGTGACTTCAGAGAGCAGGCTGAGGCGGTCAGGCACTGCAGCCTCCAGTCCCTGAGCCTCATTGAGTTCGGGGACCCCGTGCACATGGCTGGTCATGTAGTCCACGTCCAGGGCGCTCAGGAAGGGCAGCTCCCGCTCCTCGGAGATGACCTGAAGGTAGGCAGTCTCACCCCGCTCCAAGAGGGCGTCAGCTGCCAGCCGGGCAGCCTCACTGTGCCTCAACACCAACGGGGAGGTCTCCCGCCACCAGGGCCGCTTCAGCTCCTCCACCCGGCCCCGCAGGGGTCCCGCCATGCCCTGGGTTCCCAGGCCCCCAGGCCCTAGGCCTCCAAACATGCCTGCCCACCTGGCTGCTCATCTGCCAGCGAGCTCCATGGCCTGTGCCCCAGGCTGGCTACAGCAGGAAGACGACACTAGCAGGATCGCCTTCCGCCAGCCCGCCCCCGTGTGCGGCAGGATCCCCAACCTGTTGCCACCCTAAGTCAGAGCCAGGCTCCGCCTCATTGCCCCTGGCCTCTGGAACTTGTCAGGTCAGCCCCATCTGTTTGCCCCCTGTTGGGACTCGCCCGCCTAGGGAACCAGCAGCGCCAAGCTCTTAGCACACATTCCCGCCACCACACCCCGTAACCCTGGCATCTCCTGCTCCATCTCCACCAGTCTCCTAACAAGTTTACTCTAAACCTTGCCCTTCCAGGGCCCCCGTGCAGATGGGATTATGGTCCAGAGGGGCTCAGGCCTGTAGAGGGACACAGTCATGCACACGCACCATGGGATGTACGGATGACTCAAGTCACTGAGATAAAGACGTGAACACACAGACGTGCTGACATGTATACTGACACAGATAGTTAACAGACCCACAGAGGTAGAATATACACTGAATATACACGGACCATACATTTTGATCGAACCCACTCACGTACACTGACCTGAACACTAATCCAGAAGCTGGCTATAAACTCAGACCTCCACAATAGGGACAGCATGGCTCAGCACAGCGGGTACACAGGCATGGAATTAGAGGCAAGAACCGCCAAGGACAAACATCCTGCTACTCGCCACCTCATAACTGGCTCTCACAGCCCCCTGCCAGCCCCAGCCCTAGCTCTGAGCCTACCCTCCAAAGGCCCAAAGTAGTGGTTCACAGTAGCCCTTATGAAGAGCAGTGAAAGACAGTAGGTCAGGAAGTATTAAAATATAGACCCCCAGGCTCCACCCACCCAGGGATTCTGTTCCAGAAAGTGTGGGGCAGGCTTCTGGAGCCAACCTTTAAAACAAGTGCCTGGTGCACCTGGGCCACTGGGCCAGGCCCACCCCTTGAGAAATGCTGTTCCAGGTGGCTGGGTTTCCAACACCCTCAGCTCTAGGGGTGCTCTTGACTGGCAGGGGCTGGACTCCAGCCATCCTCTCCTCCTCAGGGGCTGAGTAGGGAATGGCTGGAGTAAGGAAAGTTGTTTCGGAGGGTGGGAGGATACACTACAAGGTCAGAGGAAAAGAGGGCAGGCAGGTTTCTGATCTCTGCCTCCAAAAAGAGCCAAATTCCCAGAGCCTGCTCAGCCTGTCCTCAGGAGGATGGGTGAGGCTTTGCTCTAGAAAAGCGGAGTGACGGCAGCTGGGGTGAGGAGGCAGTCCAGGAAGAAGTGCTCACAACACACAGTACCCCGGGCCAACTCACAGCACCATTTTTATATGGAGGGGTATGCTCCAATGAGAATGACCAAGGGATGGGGGGCACAGGAGACCTAAAGCATGTCTCAAAGCCCTGGCAACCCCCCTTATAGCACCTATTGCATCTGGCTTTACCTGGCCTGGGCCCATGTGTCCATTCCTGAAGGCAGGAATGGTCTGGTTCTTCTGTGTCCACAGAACCTAGCATGGGGTCCAACTCATGGCGGTGGGAGTGGGGGAACACAAAATGCTCTTAGCATAGGCTTAGGGGATCCCAGTGATGAGCTGGACAGTGAGGACCAAAGATGGATCTAGCTGGGGCTGGCTGGGGTGAGGGGCTCATAGGACGAGAACCAAAAGGTTGGGCCATTCCATCCCATCTTATCGTAGGGGCAAAACTAAGGAGCCCCTCTCTGGGGGCCAGGAGGCTATGCGAGGGGCAGGGGGTGAATAAGCAGAGTCAGACCATGGGGGGGGGGCAGCTGAGGAGGCAGAGCCCTCATTAGGGCCTTATCAACAGGTGTGTTTACAGGGGTGAACCAGGGCCTTATCTGGGTCATGGTCCACCCCTGGGGCAGTGAGCCAGACGGGGTTCCGCATTGTTGAGTTCCTGTTTATCCCTCAATGTGTACATGTCTCACTGATGGTACATAATTCCATAATTCTGGCTCTGTATTTTTGTGTATTTCCCTCCATGCCCATGTTTGTATTTGATTGATTCCATTCTTATAAGCAAAAAATCTATTCAATATAGGCAATTTCACAGGATTCAACTAAAAATACATACATACATGGGTATGCATAACTGTACCTGTGCATGTCTGTACAGGTACATACAGTAGAGTGGTGGCATTCGTGTGACTGCCTGACAGCCTTTAAGCATCTAGCCACGTGTCTGCATGTTTGTACCATGTATGTATGCATGTCTGGGGTAGAGGCAGTCCTTGAGCCAACTCTCTTTGGACTGTGGTGCTGGGTATGTATGGTGGAAGTTGTCGCTAGATGCTGTTGAGTTGGTTGCAACTCATAGTGATCCTATGTGCAACAGAACAAACACTGCCCAGTCCTGCACCATCCTCCTAACTGTTGCCCGTTGTTGCAGTCACTGTGTCAGTCCATCTTGTTGAGGGTCTTCGTCTTTTACGATGGCCCTCAACTTCACCAAGCATCATGTCCTCCTCCAGGGATTGGTCTCTCCTGACGACATGTCCAAAGCACATGAGAGAGAGTCTTGCCATTCTCACTTTCGATGACCATTCTGCCTATATTTCTTCCAAGACAGATTTGTTCATTCTTCTGGAAGTCCTTGGTATATTCAATATTCTTCACCAGCACCATAATTCAAAGGCATCAATTCTTCTTCAGTCTTCCTTAGTCATTGTCCAGATTTCAAATGTATATGAACTGACTGAAAATACCATGGCTTGGGTCAAGCACATCTCAGTCTTCAAAGATCTTTGCTTTTTAACAGTTTAAAGAGGTCTTTTGCAGCAGATCTGCCCAATGCAATGTGTCATTTGATTTCTTGACTGCTGCTTCCATGGTTGTTGATTATGGATCCAAGTAAAATGAAATCTTTGACAACTTAAATCTTTTCTCCATTTATCATGCTGCTGCTTATTGGTACAGTTGTGAGGATTCTTGTTTTCTTTATGTTGATGTGTAAAACATACTGAAGGCTATGTAGTCTTTGATCTTCATCAGGAAGTGCTTCAAGTTCTCTTCACTTTCAGCAAGTCAGTCTGTGTCATCAGCATATCACAGGTTGTTAATGGTTCTTCCTCCAATTCTGATGTCATGTTCTTCATGTAGTCCAACTGCTTGGATTATTTGCTCAGCATGCAGATTGAATAAGTATGGTGAAAGGATGCAACCTTAACACATGCCCTTCCTGATTTTAAATCACACAGTATCCCCTTGTTCTGTTCGAATGACTGCCTCTTGGTCTTTGTACACGTTCTGCATGAGCTCAATTAAGTGTGCGTGTGTGGGGGGGCTCAACTGAGAGGGGCAGGAGTGGAGGTGGCTCAGTTGAAGGGAAAAAGGCTCCAGGGGATCCCAGTCACCCTATAATAATAGCATATAAATCACATTCCCCAGGACTGCACGAATGACTGCCCTCCCTTCAGGCTGAATGGGTAAGAGGGCAAAGGGAGGGGAGGCAGCCTTGGGGTTAGGCCTGGGGTGGTGGCTCAGGGTGACAGGAGTTATACAGATAGACCTAAGCCCAGGCCCCTTAATGACTGTGCTCCAGGCACAGGCCCCTTAATGACTGTTATTAAGAGGAAGGAAAATATTTTCCTGTCCAGGAGGTGTGTGAGGCGCCTGCCTGGCATCGCTCTAGCAACCTGGGGGTCATTTAGCCTCATCCGTTGTCTCTCACCAGGTCAAGTGGCGCCTGGACAGGTGACTGCCATGTGGGGGTGGCAGGAACAGAATCTGGGCTGCAGCCCTCCGGAGGCAGCTGCTCTGATTCCAACACTGCTGCACACCTTTAACTCATCCCCTTGGGGAAGGAGCCCACAGCTTTGGCTAGATCAGTAAGGGAGCCAGAGTGCACCCACTCCTCTCAGGCAGGGAGTCCTGAGAGCTAGAAAGACAAAGGGACAAGTGGTGAGGATGCCCAGAGGTGGGCTGGAGCTGGGTATTAAAGGATGGGTAGAATTTCCAGAAGTGCACAATGGCAGCCAGGGCATTCCAGGCTAGAGGAAGAGAGGGGCAAAGCTACATCCATTGAAGGAAGGTGGGGCCAGGGTGCAGAAGAGGCTGCAGAGAGGCAGTCTGGTACCACCCTAGGAAGGCTGTGAGTGCCTGGTTAAGGTCCTAGGCTCTGTAAAGACGACGGTGTAGATGCCTAGCCCTGTGCTTTAGGAAAACTTGAGCAGCAGTTCCCCAGGGGAAGACTGGCCCAAAGCAGCAGACTCCTAGCAACAACCCCAAATGGGTGCGGTTCACTCTTCCTTGAGCAGGAGGTCACAATTCTGGGCTCTTCCCTCACCCTCACACCCCAAGGGCTGGGCTCACCCGGGGACTTGGGTTGTGCCCCTGGACTCGGAGTCAGACCACGTAGGTTGGAACACTGACTTTGCCACTGAATGGGTGAGCTGAACAATCCCGGCTTCTCTGAATTTGTGCTGAGGAAGAAGACCCCAGATTCAAACATGCTCCACAGAGACCCTTTTATCAAGCCTTCAGCAGAACAAAGAGAAAGCAAACCTAATCGTAAGGATGAGGGAAACTGTCGGCACGCACACAGTACTGAGGCCGATAGAATCTGCTGAATCAGTCTTGGAGTTTGTTACATGATGAAGAAAGAAGGAAATGATCATAGGATCATGATTGGTAGCACATCAGTCATCACCGTCACAGGCCGGACTATAGAAGGGGGCATGGGAGGACCCATGAACGGGATAAGTACTTAATTGCCAGTTAAAAAGGTTACAGGATTGGTTCTGGGGTTCTGTGATAGTTGGGGATCCCATGACCCTGATTCACAGCAACAAGGTGGTTCTAAGACAATACCAGGACTCTCAACTTGGTGTGACAGATAAAATGGGTGGGAATGATAGGCTACTTTTGGTAAATACCCAGGCAAATTACCTATTTTTGTGCGTGTGAGCCTCTTTCTGCATACTAGTCAATCTACTTTCAAACACCCTCTTCATGAG